TTTTTACATGACAGGAACAGCAATGTATGATTGTATATACAACATACTCAACCAGTGTTGCCATTGTATGATGTCTATGTGTAGTCAGTGATGAGGCTCTGCCTCATGCTAAAAGAGTAAGCTTTGATGTGATCATCAAATCCGATACTGGGATCAAAATATGTTGCTCCAAGAATGTTAAAATGGTGTAAACAGCTTCCCTAAATGACACAATAGGGTGAAGTTCTTCAGAGTCAGTACTGTCGTCGCCAACAGTTGAAGTCGTGCTTGATTGACCAGGTTGCAGTATACTTATACACTGTCAACTATTGCATGATAATTATTCTGATGTGATTGTTTCCTGGTCAACAGTAATCATCGATGCTCACGATGTTGTTTACCCTTGCCAGCCATGTTAGTGTCAGAGTTGCTGTCGCTGTCAGTTGGATCACCAAGGTTATCTTCTGCTGGAGAATCTTCCACAGGAGATACAAAGCCACAGTGTTTGAAACATCCAGATATTATAGAGGGAGACACGGAGTTCCAGGAGAGACAAAGCAAGTGCATGGCATCCAAAAGATTGAGTTGAACTCTCTGTTTCCTTCCTTCGATGCTAGAAGTTAGATTCCTTCTGTAGTGAACGTTAAGATTTTGTATGATGCCCTAATCACATAGTTGGCTTTTACAAGTGGTACTCAGAGGTAAGAAAACAAGCTTGATAGATTGGATTGGATATTAGGGTGAGCTGGGCAATTATCAACGACCTTTGCCACCTTCCTCTTTTCTCGTAGAAATTTGGCATCCAGCTTAGGTAGCCATGTTGAAAAGAGATCACTCACCATCCATGCTTTGCTGTTTGCTGTTTGCCATACTGAACTGGGATGCTTCGCGCATTCTTGAAGCACCTGGACTTTGCATACCTTTCAATTACTACCAAAGGCAACTTTTCACTGCCTGACATGTTGTCACATACCAGCACTGTGGTCCTGTCTTAACATTTCTTGCATCCACTACACTTCTCACCCTTCATTAACCCTCGGCGCACATGCGCAGCAAGGGTTACGGGTAGTCGTTTTGTCTGTCTGTCTGTCTGTCTGTCTGTGTGTCAACGCTTATTTCTGGCACTACAGGCTACGAGGCGACCCATTAGCGATACCTGTGGCTTCAGAACAACGAGCCTGAAAAATATAAGGCCGAATTTCCTGAAACGACTGCGTTCGAGAGCAACAAGCTGGCACGGTCATGTACCACGTTGCGTGGTCCAACCCATCAATAAGCGGTGCGCATGCGTACGTATATTAGATGTGATAAACTCATTATGCTGGCTCACCTCGTCCTGATTCTCTTGCTCTGTGTACCTTGGAGGCGCAAGAAGCTACAGCGAAGTGCATGTATCAACTCCTGCATGCTATCTACTACCGTAGCTAGCCCATGTCAGACTCTCCGCGAGCTACTAGCGGGAGACCACGGGTAAATGCCAATAGCCTATTAGTGGTACCGCGCATGCGCAGTTTGCTGAGGGTTTTCACGCACTTTAGTGCTTTTCATTGACATATTTAAATAATCCTGTTTCGTCGGCGTTAAGTACATTGTTTGGTCTAAACACCGCTAGGAGAGCGGGAAATTGGCAAGAATTCCAATCCCTACCGTTTTCTCTCTTACCTAGGTTATCTTTCTAAAAGCCATTCCGTGTCAGGCTTTCGTTCCAGCCACCCAGTAAGAAATTGCGAAGACCAAGTATCAGAGTTGATTCCTTGGCCTTTATTTTTAAGATCGGACCATAGGTACATTCATGCTTCTTGCCTGTCTGAACCAGATAAAGAGCGCTTCCTCCAGTTCTCCTTGAGCTCCTTGACGCATTCGCTTCCATGTAGGAACAAACTTAGACGCACAAAACAGCTCTCGCAATCTCAAAATCGAAGACAATGAACTTTTAGGTATATCGAAAGACTTTGCCACCTCAGATTTTCTCTTGTCGCCTGCTTCAACAGCCTCGATGATAGCTACTTTTATCGCTAAGCATACAGCTGAACGCCGTTTTCGTCCAGTCATCACTCAGGGACCAGCTACTGACAGCCGTCCACACAATGTGGTCACTCCGTGTGCATATATGCCGGACTTCTCTCACATGAACCACGAGGGAGTCTAAATATGCGTACTTCCGAAGCGAAATTGCGCAATAGCCGTGTTTGCGTAAAGCGAAGCAATATGTATGGTTCCTTATGGCGTTATGCGGGGACCACAAGTGTTTGCTTCATCCAGAATTTTATTTCTAAGCGTTTTGGTATTAATGCTGGCACTGTTCAGTGAATAATGTCTTGAGGTAGCTAAACAGTGTAATATTTTCACTTTTGTCTCCATAGAAACACCTTTTTAACATACTTTAGAGTCAACGGGTGGGACGCAGAATTGCGATGTAATTGAAGAGTTCATTTGGTGTCAGTGAAAGAAATCAGCTCAAATATTTGGCGAGAGCAACCCAACCTAGTTCAAATTCATGTATAACTTAACTAGAGTCTCTAAAGCTTCTTTGAGTGCTACATGTGGAATGCTTGTGTACAATGTAGAGAAGTCGTAGCTATCAAATGCCTGGCCGTAGAAAAATAATTAAAGTTGAAAACACCTGCTGGGAGTTATCAATAATCCAAAAACAATTTACTCCAGTCCTACAAAAAATGGCGTTACAATATTGTTTATAGTGGTTGTTAAGTTTTAAGCAGGTTTAGATAAAGGTTTTGTAGTGCACCTGTGTGATGCAGCTATGAACCAAGTGCCATAAGTTGTGTGGCATTCAATGTGTGAGTGAGACAAGTCAGAAGCTTAGAAATCGGTTAAACAATGACAGAAGTAGCCTGAAGAGGTTAACGAACCTATATTTATAGTTCTGACAGTCACTCTGGAGATGATATTTGCATTATGCCCATTGGATAAATACCATCTAGTGATAGCGCTAATGTTAACGTCAATACGACTGGAAAGGGAAGACTATTGGTGTAGGGAACTGTGTACCTACAACCCGCATGGGCTAAATGACATCGTTAGAGGTGTGAGTAATAATTATATCTAAACAGCCTGGATTGGTGGTAAACACCTTATTTAATAGAAGGTATAGGAAGAGAAAGGACCGTAGACATAGACAGAGGCTGAATTTAAAAGATCTAACTTCTAGTCTTGAGAATTGTTTACATATTATAGTTATAAGTCTCGTTTTTTTGTTTAATATTAGGAGTTTAGTCTTTAGCTTACCAGTGAAATGGATGGGAGTATTATGGAATGTTTTTCAATGTTGGAGGCAGACACATGATGTACCTGATCGCATTGCGTGTTGCTTTTTTATACACACAGATGGTAGTAGAGAGTGGAGTAATCCCAGTCTTGGTTCCTATTCTTACTCACCCTGACAACAAAGTGTTGGTGAGTCACCCGAGCTAGAGTACTTTCCCTATAACCATTATGACGACATGTGGAAATTAATATGTTGTGGACAGGTGTAGCATATTCACAGTGCAGGAGAATCACATTATCCTCTGCATTTTCGTAGGATTTGCTATATGTCCCATTATGAGAAAGAATGAACATCCCTGTGACAGAAAGAATAACCCCATCCCTACACCCTTTTGCTAAGCTGATTTTGTTAATCGGTATTTTCATAAGAGAATCTCTTTGAGTTGGGGAATAGGTGCTTTTAACACAAACATGCAGAGCGCTGACCTAGAATGTGGGTCGTGGGTTCGAATCCCACCTAGGGCAGCTCTCCTTTTTTCCTTGGAGAAAAGAGCTGTCATGGGTGTAGTTGACTTGTTTTTTGTTCCTTTGTGCCGTTCACACATGCAGTTAGACATTTGCTCACCCTGAAAGAAAATCTAACAATTTTCAATAATATTAGTTTTGCTACGTACGTTCTCAGCGTTGATATCATTCACATACTGCTGTATCAACCTCTGTCTTTTTTCGCTCCTTTTTTGCTTTAGCTGCCTGTACTACGGACATTGGGCACATACGACACTGCTCACACTGAGGAAACCCAGGCTGTGTTGGATGGAGGATTCTCCCATATCTCCCTAACCTTGCTACTGACACAACGCCTGACATCAGTGCAGTAGGTCATGCTATCTCCAGGGTTCTCCTTAGAGCGCGTAAGCGCAGTTCCGCGCATTAATTCACCGCCATCGAGCATTAGCTATTACCCCCCGCCCCCGCGTGGTATTGAAATTAGTGCGCGTGCGCGACTACATGCACGGAGCATGTGTTCTGAAGAACGAGAACGAGATAATGGCAAAGATGGTGAAGATCACAAGCTATTTCTATTTACACGAAGCAGTGAGGCCGATGAGTGCAACAACATGGAGCTTCTCTCTGAAGGTGATAATCAGCCACTCTGCGTGAGTGCAGCCAGGACAACTACGGTAGTGACAACGAGCTCCCGCAGAATGGTGACAATGAGCACCCGCAAGCTATCAGAGCTTCCTCCGCTCATTAGTTTTTTCCTGTATCTCATCAAATTTTTATACCTTTATACCTTGTTATAGTAATGGCTGATTGCTATGTGATTCGTATGGGATTACGAGTTTGTTAGCAACAGTCAATCAACAAGATTTGTCCAAGGACCTTCATCAGCCAACATTTATACTTACCTGTTAAACACTGTTGTATTTACGATTACAGTCAACAATTTACGTTTACAGCCAACAAAGGGGTCGTATGATAATTAAGTCCTTCAGGCTTGATCCTGCAAGCATTTTATAATTGGTAGATCGAACAACTGTACTGACGATCATGCTACTTCCAGGCTCTTACGCTCTCTAGAAATAGTGCCATCTGTATAATTGTATACTGTGGTACAAGTTGCTCAGAATCCTGAGACTGTCATCGTATAGCCCGAGTCCATAAGTCCTCCGGCTTCCCGTCGGGCTATGAGTACTCACCTGGATTCTTAGTAATATTTTTGTTTTGTAATGCAGGAGGTTATGTGGATGCTGTCGAATATCGTCGCTGATAGTGAGCACCATATTCAGGTTTGAACAGCATCATTGAAAGAATGTGTAGTTTTTTCCTCTGCAGATGGTGATTGATGCTGGTCTCATGCCGGCGGTAATGGAGAGGCTGGGGTGTGGTAAATTCTCTGTCCAGAAAGAGGCCGTATGGATCGTCTCTAACTGCTTAGCTGTAGGCACACCTGAGCAGGTGAGGTCTCAGCTTTCTTTCCTCTCCTTTAACATATGGGGCCACAACAATGTAAGTCAACGTTGCAATATTATGCTCCCTCGTGTTAGACTGCTGTCGAGTAGGTGCAATTGCAATATCTTGTATCCTTTATAGCCATGAAAGATAATTAAGTACTAAGTTTAATGTTATGCAAAGTTGCAGGTAGAGAAGCAAATCCGAGTAGTAACATGGTGTGTGCCTTTAAATTGAGGCAGGAAAGCTTTAGCCCTGTGATGGCCTGAAAAAGACTGAAAACATAAAAGCTATAGGCATGCCATAAACCTCAAGCCTACAGATTATATGTATTTTCTACTTCAAAAATAGTTCATTCTCTCACCCTGTTGTTTCCAGGTAAAGTACATGGTAGAACAGGGAGCTGTGGGAACCCTCTGTCATCTCCTGGCCTCCTACGCCACGCCCTCAGTGAGTATTCCCCAGTATTCTTCTCTTTTTCTATTCCGCTTCTTGGATTTACTAAACCTCACTGGTCCCCCTCCGTCTTTCACTTTGTTTTACCTTCTAGCTAGAATATTAACTTTTCCATAATATAACATGAGGAGGGAGTTAGACAAACTCGTTGTCCCAAGCATCAAGTAAATGCTCAAAGTTTGCAATACTGGGATTTGTCTGTCTATGTGTTATACACAACAAGACAAAACTTTTCCTTGGTTCTAAACTCCAAGGGAGTCTATACTTTATTAAGTTTTTTTACATGTAAGAACCCAGAGGATGTAGTTAGTTTTAAATATGAGTTTAACCAACGTCATACTGCGATAGTCAGAAATCATCTGGTCGAAACTACTGCCGCCAGCAAGTCACAGGAGCCCAATTACCGGCTTGCCTATGTTTTGTCAAATCTAGCCTTTTATGCAGCAAGAGTCCTTTTGGTGCCCTTTTTTTCCTGTGGTTATTCTGCTATGTGATAGGTAGCATAGGACTAAAAAAGTACTCTGTCGAATTACAGATGATCACAACCATCCTGGATGGCCTCAATAACACCCTAAGTAAGGCAGGTGAGGACAGTGAGGTCATCTTGACTCAAATGAAGGAGGCTGATGGATTGGACATGATTGAGAAACTACAGCAGCACGGGGATCAAAACATTTACCGGCTGGCCTGCAGCATTAAGAGCCATTTCCCAGATGTGGTGGGTGTGATGAAGGTTTTTGGTATTGGTAGCTACTGACGACAACAGCCACAAACTAGATTCTGGGAGTTATATGTTCAAAGCCAATAGATGGTATTTAATGTTTTGGCGTCAAACCTAAGCGAACAAGCTAATATGGCTAACTATGACTGCATTACACATAATTATTTGCTGACCATCGATACATCAGAAGTTAAACAGAGGGTGAGTGCCGAATGTCCCAATGCTATCTACTAGTTTAGCTATCTAGTGTTAAACTTTCAGAGAAGTTATAATAATAATAGTGAGAGAACACGAGTAATGTACAGTGTACACCAGCCCATAAATTAGCAGTACTGGCCTGCGCATGTGTATGTGATTAATTTGTGTGTTTCTAGCACACCCAGGCAGCGTTTCCACTTTAGTGTATATATTAACCCTCAGTGTGCATGCGCAGCCAGGGGTGCGCTACTTGGTTCGTTAGTTTGTGTGTCTGGTCTTGCAAATAGCCCAGCCAATCAATTAGCAGTACTGTGCATGCATAGGGTAGGCGGGCAGTTATGAGACACCTTAAGTGACTATAATTTTATTATGAGACCACTTCCGGAGCTCAAATTTCTGTGTATACTCAAGACTTTTTATGCACCTATTTGGACTTATTTAACCGCCTTTTTCATAAAATAAAAAAGGTATATACAGAAAATGTGATGTAAATGTGGGACAGAGTACCCTTTATGAGACAGTCACACTCTTTACAGCAGTAAGCCATTCCTAATCATAAATCTATGTTACACAAATCTCATCCAATAATATTATTACTGAAACACGTATTAGACAAGCACTATGACACAGAATTTCACAGTAGAACACATGCGGTAGTATTTTAGAATTACTAATGTTTGTGCAGGGCGAGTTAAATCAATTCTGACGGCCATCACATGCTATCCACATGCTATTGTCTGCTGAGTACAGAAGTCCACACTTTGGGCATTTGGTGCCGGACTCATTTGATCCATCTAACGATAAATCAATCGCTGAAACCTTGTCCTGAATCCTATTACCCTTCCTCATACTTCCTCCCTTCTTTCGGACCTACCGTCTCTCTACTTGCACTTGCTGTCTCTCTCCCTTGTCTTGATTACCCGTCCTCCTACTTTCTCTCTTCTCTCAGACTCCATCTGTTCGCACTTGCCGTCTCTCTTCTTGTAAATTCTGTCTCTCTGCTTGCTTTTACTGCCTCTCTGCTTGGTTTAACTTAACTCCTTTGCCTGCATAGCCTGCTTCTTTTAATCTAAGCACAAGAGTAGTGTGTGCCGGTAGGCACAGAATGTGCACATTGTTAGCACGAGTCAGCTCGATCACCTCAGTGGATGTGTGAGAAAAACCGAAACCATTCTAAATACGAATTGATCCACCCACTCTCACTAGCAAAGAATGTATCAGGAATAGCTCCCTCTTTCACGCTCTCAGGGACACACCTTTTCCTAGGGTGGATTGTCATCGGTGGGAGGACATACTCAGAAGCTGATACACAAGCAAGCACGGTGTGTGTTTTTCGCCTTTCAGCCGTCTCAGGGATGACTTTCCCCACCTTATGTACAATACTTTTACCAGTCTCATCACCATTGCATAGGCTTTGTAATGAGATTTAGGCGACCATAAAAAGATCCGAGCTTGGCAAAAAATATATGAACTGTTGCTTGGTTGGAGGAAATGGCTCGGCAGTAAGAGAGTAGCTGTGAAGATAACTGTGAGTGGCACTGTCAGAATCCCTCGAATCATGCACTGTAGGCCTTTCCACTGCGAAAGGGATTATTTCGCTCACTCTTCTGTCATTCCATAGCTAATATCCGACATTTTCACCAGATACCATAAGTATGGTTGCTGGCCCTGGTCTGGCACACTACCGTTAACATGCCTCCTAATCGTCTCAACGGGAATGTTATAAAGCCCTGCCAGTTCCCTCGAACCTCTATTCTCGTGTAGATTACTGTTCACCACCACTTGCATAGTTTCATCCGACCACAACATTCGCTTTGTCACCCAGTCATCTGTCTGCAAGATAGCTTGGTTATGAAGAAGTGCCATGATGCCACGTAAATCTTACCAACAAAGGAAAAGCAACCAGAGCAGAGAGAAAGTATGTGTTCGCCAACATTGCGCATACGCGGCCGCCAAACATTTCCGGTCAAAGGTCACAGTACACGTGTGCAGAGTAGCTTAGCTACTGCCTAGCAGCGAATCGAGCAGGGTTGAAGCAAATACCACAGCATATGATAAAGTGTCTCATGATACCAGCCATGCCACATAGTCTTACAAATATTTAGCCAGTTTATTGTTCTAGCTTTATCAGGGGGTAGCGTTCAGAGTAATGCTAGGCTGGTCACACATCCCCAAGTATATACATTAATCCCTCAAGAATGCGCTGTAGCTCTAAAGCAACTTGTATCGTTTATAGGCCACATTGTGGCCTACAGTGCCAGAATAAGACAAACAGACGCACACAGAGGCAACTGTACCAATCCCTATGTGTTCGCTCCGAGGGTTAATAAAAAGCACTTAAGTGGAACACGAGTGCCTGCAGTGATGTTTACCGAAGTGACAGTTCAGGCAAACTGCTTATGCTGGCAGCAAACCAGAGAACTGCACCATCAGGTAGCTCATGCATCATATCCATATTCACTGATTCCTCTGTGTTGGTATCCTGCCAGCTTATGCTTTGAGATTATCACAGCAATGCAGAAAACACCTGCTGATCTGTCACAAAAATAATCTCTGTGGTGGTCCCAAACATGTTTTTGTAAGCATGCACTTTTATGTTGCATTGAGGATTTGCACTAATGTGTGTATTGAGGCATTCAAACATTATTCATTTCTATTCTCCCTTTTCTGCTGTACATTTACACTCACACTCTTTCTTTCTACCTCATCATCTCTCACTTCTCTCTTCTCTCCTTCATCCTTCTCTTCTTAGTAGGTAATCGCTGAAACCGATTGAGTACTATTCAGTCAAATCACAGATGAGATTTTACCCCCTGTTTTGATGCAGTAGTTATTTGTCTCTCTCTGTACACATTTTGAGTGTAATCATAATTTTGTACTGCTATATAAAACTTTATACTACACCTTCAGGCCAATATACAGCTTTATATTAACTAAGACAATCAGAGTCCAATTGGTACATTATATGCCTGGGGTCTGTGTTACGCAGACATATTATTATTTTACTGACACAGCTTTGGGCTCAGGTAACAAGCCATTCTGTTTAGCAGCAGAATGTATTGCGTGCCACCATCTGCAGCTTTTTTGAAAAAGACTGTGAACTGATCCCACACCGCTAAACATGCCTTTGCTCTTGCTCTAGGGAAACAGAGATTCATTAACCCTCGGCGCGCATGCGCAGCAAGGATTTTACAGCATATACCGCCAACAACATAACCCGTATGGCTCTCCAATGCCATCCATGAGAGCCCGCATTCTCATCACAAAGCTCAAATTCTGCTAAAGGTCGTCACAGGCGATCTCTCTCTCTCTTAGTGCCCAAACTTTCCGCTCACTTCCGTCTCAGACGTTGAGTCTTTACTCATAGTTCGACAATGCGAGTCTAGTACACTAGACCGGACTTCACCACATCCGTACTTACATCCCCCAACATGCAGTGTGCTCTCTCCTCATAAAAATGACTTACTGCAGCTCGACCGCTCTCTACTTTTGTCCAGACATCGCCTCTCACCCATCTCAGATTTTTGTTATATAATAGGATTGCCTCCAGCCAAGAGGGAAGTTGGTCAAAGCTATGGGACTAGCTAGAGCGAGTGTCTTCGGAACCACATGCATCCAAGCTGTGTTGAAACTTCTCTCCCTCCATCTCCACTCAAATAACATGTGGCCTTAGAACTACGTGAGCACAATGGCGATTCTCTTAAACGACTGCGTTCAAGATATATATTCCGTGAATTTGCATAATCACACTTGGCTTAGCTACTGCGGATCCTTGGAGGCACAAGAAGCCACGACTGTAAACAGGCGCACGTCTGCTCTCATTGTTGGGCCCAACTCGTAATCTCTCTGGAAATGACAGTCACTGACTATGTTCTATACAGGTATGATGATATACGATATAATAATAGGGAAATAATAATAATGAATATTATTATTGTAGATGTCCGTCTAATGGCTATGTCTGCCCGCCATGAAGCTCGACCCTGAACTTGTATGGTTGTCCTGTCCCTGTTTGTGTAGCTATAATAGATCCACAGGTGGTCCAGCAAGTCGGTATGGGTGTCGCACAGTCTTCCTAAGGGGGTACTTACAGGTAGAGGGGGGTTAGAACTTCTGCAAAGATTATGAGGCTGCTGTGTGTTAGTCCCATTAGTTTGGCATGTTATAGTTGGCACTCCGCCTAGCTTAGGTGTAACTGGGGTAGGGGATGAGGCTGAGCCTGTATCACTGCCGTCAGCCACTAAATCGGTGTTGAAGTGCATTCCATGTGTCCGAACGGCTTGAGGATCCTGGCCCGGAAGATCATGTCGGATATCCGGCCTGGTGCTGGCAGTTTCCATACCCATTACTATTAGAGGCTCCTCGGAAGGTGACAATGTCATATCTTCATTGACATGTATATACACTCCGTTGGATATCTCTCCCATGAGTATACTATAATAATTATACTCATTCGAGACTGGGGGGCGGGTCATCATCCAGTGGGCTGAGAGGGGAGAATGATGAGGCAGCTCCTGGTTATCTGCTGGATGGCCTTACTTTGAGGTCCTGCGGTCTGACTTTAACCGCTCCCGACTCGATATCCGAGATAGCCGCACTCCGCCATGGCAAATTGGCACTTCTTATTTTCACTGTGAGGCCCATCTGCTGGATGCAGTCTAGGACGGAGGAGAGCTGGTGGAGGTGGGCATTCCACGCAGTGCTGAAGATAATGATATCGTCCATGTAGGCGCTCGCGAATTCTTCGAGACCCTCTAAAAGTTTGTCCACCATCCTCTGAAAGGTCGCTGGAGCCCCTTGCAAACCAAATGGCATTCTTGTAAATTGATATAAGCCATATGGTGCTGTCTTGGGTTTATCCTCCTCTGCGACCGGAACTTGCCAGTATATACCCCTTCGTGAGGTCTAGAGTAGTGATGAATGTGGCGTTGCCGACGCGATCAATGAGGTCCTCCACTCTCGGCATGGGATATGCGTTCCCTGCTGATCTGGCATTTAAGCGTCAGTATAATCAACGCACAGACGAGTGACGATTTATCCGTTTCTGTTGACGTGACAGGCGTGGTCGAGGTGCTGTGGACAGGAACAGATCATCGCTGAAAGTGCTCCCCAGTGGGGGGTTATTCGCTTTGGGAGTCTGGCCACAAACTGGGGTGGGGTTCGCCCCACTCTCTGCCTCCCTGCATATGCGTGCAGCTTCGGCCTCCTGACGGGCCTTGGCCTGGGTACGCTTTGCAGTAGATGCGAAGGAAGGATGGAAGAATAGTCGTTTTCAGGCTCGCGTAGTCTGAAGCCGTTGGGATATATAGCTAATAGGCGCCTCGTAGCCTGTATAAGCGTCGACACACAGACAGACACGCAGACCAACTACCCTCGCTGCGCATGCGCGCCGAGGGTTAACAAGCGAAAGGCATAATCGCACGGGGCTGCGACCTGGTATGCTTTCTCTGTGTATACCTTGGGGGCTCAGGAAGGCACAACGAATGGCATGTATCGACTCTCGCATGCTATCTACTGCTGTAACTGGCCCGTGTCAGACCCTCCGGGAGGTATATACTAGCTAAAAGCACGGCAAATGATATGCCCCACTAGGTAGCATGCGTACCTCATCTGCAGCCTATCGCAGAAGGCTGTGGCGGTCTTCCTCGACTTTGTTGTGACAACCTCACACAGAACCCTTTTGTAGCGGCCTACAGTCTGTTTTGATGCGTATATGTGCTTCTACGAGGCCCACAAACACTGCATCGCAACCGCACCGACTTGTAGGTAGCCTCGTTCCCAGGCCTTCCGCGAGAGAGAGGGAAGGCCTGGTACAGTTTGCGAATGCGCTATCATTTAGGAATGCTATAGAATACGTCTCAGAAATTGTGGGCGTGCATCGCGCGCAACGTAACACCGCGTAGTCTCGCTAGCTATAGCGCGACTAAACACCGCGCGACTAATGTGAGGCTCACGCAGGCGGCCCAGCTTGTAGAGCCGTGTAGCAAAGAGATTTCCCAAACCCGGTTGATAACCAAATAAAAGTATCTTTTCCGCTCAGTACAGCTCTAAGGGAGCTCTCCTGCTCATTTATCAGCTGCAAATCTGGAGAGTGCAAACGCTGGAGAGCGTACGCAACAGCTTTCTCGAACTCGCTCCCTCTCAAAACGGATATTATGCGACAGTATACGAGAGTGACGTAAACCAACACGGAGATATCCGTGCGCGATACGGAATTCCTGATGTTGGGAAATTTCAGCACATGCGCAAACAGTGCCCTCTCGGAAGGCCTGGGAACGGCTGACATTATACGAACGTCATATATACCGCGGGGAGAATATGGCAATACACGGGATATCCGGTATCTCAAACTTTGTGGGGGTGGGCGGGTACAGATAGTACCAGTACCGCGGTGCCTTCCTACAGTGACCGGTGCGGAGAAAATGCTGCTTGGAGTTCTCTCTCTAGTTGTCCTCACGGAGCTAAGCACCATGACTTTTTGTGAGTTTTATTGAGTGGTTCTATTGATCTTTGGTAATTCGCATAGCGTCCGAAATTGTGCACAGCACGCCAGCCCATAGCTAATATGCGTTTATACCAGAGGAAGGGAGAGAGAGAGACATGAGAGAGAGAGAGAGAGAGCACAGAATCAGATAATGCGTGTAGTAACTTCTGTAGCCCCACCACCTCTTACTTTCCTTCTACCACCCTTCATGTCCCCAGGTATTGAAATTGTCAGCGGACCGCTAACTGTGTCAAATGCCTTGCTTGGAGATATTGCACGTTTTGAGTGCGTACTAAGCAGTGAAGATCTTACACCTCGATGGAACATTATGGAACCGATTTCACGGTTTCATCTCTTCCACCTGGTTTTTCAGTTTGAGAGTCATTCCACCTTGAAAGTGTTAATTGTGAACCCAGTGAAGCAAGAGTTAAACAATACCTGTTTCTACTGCTTTCTTCTCCTTATTAATGCTCGTGCAGAAAGCCCACCAGCTAAACTCATTATTCAACCACCCTTGGCCACTCGCAGCTTCTCTAGTAGCAGTCGACAACCACAGGCCACCTCCAGCTTGCAGCTGATGCCCACACTTGGCTACTCCAGTAGCAGTACCTGGCAGTCCATTGTCACTCACAGCTATTCTGATACTAGTTTGATAGGTTCTACTGTTACTGCTGAATCTCCAGCAACACTACCACCAATATTGACTCCTGCTGTATCGATGATCACCACTACCAAAACTGAATCCTCAACACAGCTATTAAGTAAATTACTAATAGCTACTAGTTTCACCTAACATCTAGCTAGCTATGTCAAGTACACAAATTATATTATTTCTGCAGTTGGAGTTTACTCAGCAGTGCCTACTGTATTACTTATATCAGCCTTAAATGTTGCTGTCATTGGCTACTTGATCCACTGTAAGACCCACATAATTATATTGTCATAATGTTCATGAATCTTAATTTCAGGTCGACATAAAAGAAAGAAAGGTTCGTTTTGCAATACTATATTATTATCCACACCAGAATTATAGGTTTCTGCACATTCTCAGGTGTAAAGCAACAGGAAAGAGTGCATGGTAAGTGTAATGGCATTACATATCTACTATTATACCTTCGCTCTTTTCTCTTAGTGTACGAAGACGTGGATGCTACTATACCTGCAAGTCCAACTGATGTAAAGCAACAGGAAAGAGTGCATGGTAAGTGTAATGGCATTACATATCTACTATTATACCTTCGCTCTTTTCTCTTAGTGTACGAAGACGTGGATGCTACTATACCTGCAAGTCCAACTGATGTAAAGCAAAATCCAGCATATTCAACTACATTTGAAGTTAAAGAAAACCCTGCTTATATTACTACTACAATGTTCACACTCACTGCTACTAAAACTGACATTGTATAAAATGTGAGAAAACAATAATTATGTTCCAAACAAGCGTTTATTCCATGCACACTATACTCTGCTTTGCACGCTGTTCATACAAACACCATAAGTATAGTATAGTTTATACAAAACACCATAAGTATAGTATAGTTTATACAAACACCATAGTGTAGTTTTCCTTCAAGCTGGTGATGTTACAACTGTGGTAACAGCAGTGGTGGTTTTTAATTGGCCAGCTGCAGGAAGAAGCGTCATGTTGGGTGGGATGGGTGTTTGAGATGTTCCCCTCTTTCAGAGTAAAGTACGGATGGCTATGGATCTGCAAAATCTTGCAGATTTGTGATAGCCAGATAACACAAAGTGTGTAGGGGTCATTCACATGAGTTCTGGGTGTTTCAACTGCATGCACTGAACCATCTCGACGGACATATTGGCAATGGGAATGAGGTGTGTAGTGTACTTGTACTCTGGTTCGGAGTGGTTCAACTGCATCGAACCTCCTCCACACACAGTTTGCTCTGCTCTCCTGATGTCTCTCCAGCAGAGACTGTGTGCTGTTGTCTTACCCTTCAGTTCTCTCCGTCTTTGCCTCACATTCTTCCTCCCCCCAGGACAGCCAGTCTCCATGCTGCTGTGGAAGCTTATGGTATAGATACAGCCAGAGTGTCTGATGTCTTCAATCATTCCAAACTTAATTTGTCAAAACCCTTGACAGGCATGCACTACAGTCTGTCAGTGTGTTTGTTTGTGGGGGTGATCGAGGGGAAAGGAAGGGAAAAGGAGAGAAAGGGAAGTGACCAAACACAAACACAATAAGACCAGGGGCTGGGAGACTTTTGTCAACTTCACTACACGCGGCAGCTCAGTGGTCAAAATTACATGTATTTTTAGATGGACCAGGGTACCCACTTCTGCTTAATTGTTTTGCACTTGTGCCTATCACATTGTAATTACACAGTCTCACTCATACAAACACAAGAGCAGGACATGGATGCCCAGCCTTGAGAACTGGTGACGGTGGGTTAAAGATCTTTTGCGGCTAGCCAACTCTCCCCACGCATCCAATGTCACAGACTCTTATGTAAAATCTACACATTTGCAGTTCTGTACTGAGGTAGTTACAATCACATGACTTGCAATCACTAATGCACTGTGGGGTATTTACAGGGAGTTATGGAGTCATAGGTGTGGAATTTCCTAAGGATGAAGTGGGTTTGTTACTCTATGGTACTGAGGATGTATTTTACTCCAGTTATACTCACAAGTGTAAAAATGGTGTGTGTGTGTGTGCGTGTTATGATTATTCTGGCACTACAGGCTACGAGGCGGCCTTTGAACGATACCAGTAGCTTCAGAACGATGGAAGCATGTAATATAAAAGGCCATTTTCTCAAAACGACTGGTGCACTGACTCTCGCCATTCAGTAGTCTCGGTAGCTACCAGCCTCTCTCAGAAATGAGAGAGGAGAGGGTCTGGTCAACTGCCATAGTACAATATGTTCTAGACACCTTGAGATGTCAAGTGGCTGTGAACAGTAGTACTGTTGGTATTGCCTAACTTACCACAACCTCCTACACACAAATGTAGCATAGCTTGTGGGACTCCTACACAATGTTTACACTATCAGCCACTTCTATATACCCCCAGGTGTCTAGGGTGTCTATACTAGGGCAGTTGACCAGACCCTCTCTCCCTTCTATAGGAGATGGGCTAGTACCAAGACTAACAGTTCAGCACACCGTGGGAGATGAAGTTACTCAGTGGATGGGTATCTAGTCCAGCATCCAGTGTTGCCCCAAAATGCTACCCACTGCTGCAGCTAGCGAGAAACTGGCTCTGTCACAAGTGCGCATGTGTGGTGCTGCTTTCTGCACATACGTATAGGGACATCGACGCTAACGGGCTCCTTGCACCGAGTGTTTGCACTTTAGTGACATGTAGTAAAAATGATGATTCATACACTATAATGAGGGCCAAAAATTGTATCTTTCCCTGTCCATTTATGACACTTCATGAACTGAAAAAAATATGACTTTGCATAATATACAGCTCCATAATATTATATTCCATTTAGCTTCTACCTTTTCCTCAGAGTCCAATAGCCCACAATGAAAGTAAGAAGCCAAATAAGACGACAATCACATGGCTTCCAAGTGTAGAGCCATGATTTATTAGAGAGGCTGTAACAAGGTAATCACGATAAGTCTAAATGGTTACAAAGAATAAATTCACGTGAGGTCCATAGAGTGGTACTGTTACAAATGATGTTTGTACATTTTGTCCTGTGTCAAAGTACGATCAGCTACAAGAAAAGATACATCCACAACACATCCCCTCATTTTCTATTTGGGGAAATTAGCCCCAATAAAATCTGATTTGCAGATTGTAGCATGTGAACTATGCTACTTTGCTATGTGCAGAATTGTGTGATGGAGTTGGGAAGGGTGGATTACTGCCACGCACAAGGGTGGCATGGGTAAGCTGTCATGGCTAATGTCCTGAAGCAATAGGATAAGTACAGTAAACTGAAACAATGCGTCAAAAGAGTAGAGCCTGAATTATGTCTAGTGCGTTGATGTCAAGGAGCTATATATTTAGGGTGTTGGCTCCTTGACAGAGTAGTGGTTGGCTCACATATGTTCTATTATAGCTGCCCGTCTATCAGGTAAATCAGACTCACGTGTACAAGTTATTCCATCTCCAGTGTAATTCCCATTGCATATACATTCCCCTCCTTTGAATTCAGCATTCTCATCACATGTCACTGAATAATTATAATTATGTTAAGTGTGGAAACACCTGATTTAAAAAGCATTGACTTACATATTACAAAGTTAAATGCCACACTGCTATAATAAAGGTCTCCACAATTCCTCTTAGGGCAGAATATTGAGACAATTGTTCCATTTCCAGCTTTGTCAACTTCAATGGCATTGCTACTACTGCCAAAGCACTTTGCTGGGAAAACTTTATCGCTAAGACATGGATTATCAAAGCAGTCAATTGATCCTCCTGATTGTACACAAATGGTGTACTCAAGTACATTTCCTCTGAAGTTGCAGTCAATAGCCGCCTCACTAAATGCATCAGCAATCAGAGTCCCGCTGTAACTACCATTTGGAATGTGCCTTTTGCCTGCAGCATATAATATTAGCTATACTGAGCTAAAACTGTGAGGCTAACCTGTTGGTTTTATAGCAGTGAAGTAGTAATTATGGGAGGTTTCACAGGGAAGATTGCAACTCTCTGCTGAAATGTCGACGCTGATACTCTTCCCAGAGAATTTTCGAATATCAGTTGTGATAGTCACTAAACCATTTTCAGCATTGACCGGTTCTGACATTTCGGCACGATTATCAGAATCAGTACAGTCTGTCAAGAGAACAGAAACTTTGCAGTCATCGGTGTTTCTTTGAACGCCGTCAATATATATAGTCAACATGTCGTCAGCATTCGAGAAGAATGATACCTTCACATCATTGCATGAAGCATAATCAGAAAAATAGTAATAGTAATAGTGATTAGCTACATACTAGCTACTAGCTACTTGCCCCAGAACATAAAAGAAGGAAATGCACATAAATTGTTTGATCTGATCAAGTGTATATAGCAATATGAAGAGGGATGCACATAAAAAGTTTCATACACCGAGATAGAGAGTCATTCATAATCCCATTACTACCAAAATTTCATACTAGCTGTAGCTAATAGCCAAGTCACGTTCAATGGTGCAATGGAGTCGAGGGTACCTTCTATCTGTGCTTGCTGGCCACGACGTACAGGGCTTCCACCCCATATAAGGAAGGCAAAGATTAAAAACAGAGAAGTCTTGGCTAATGCGGTGATGCCCAGAAGTTGTGCGTGAGAGAAAATTAATGTCCCAAAAAGGGCATTACTCAATGTGCTTACTAAGCTACGAAGGATTATTTTTTCACTTTTGTACACAGTAGTGGCTGTATTTGTAAGGTGCATACAAACTTGGCACACACAATGCAAACTGCTTGTGCAGAAATACTATACATCTCTCTCAAACAGATGCTCTAACTAACCACGAGGGCCTTCTACAGCAGGTTTGCTGCAAATTATATTGACGACAGATCCACCCAATATTACTCTAAAAACACACAGGGTGCCATTCCAAGGGAGGCAAAGATTGTAAACAGAGAAGTCCTGACTGATGCAGTGATACCCAGAGGTTGTGTGTAAGAGGAAATTAATGTCCCAAAAAGGGCATTACTCAATGTGCTTACTAAGCTACGAAGGATTATTTTTTCACTTTTGTACACAGTAGTGGCTGTATTTGTAAGGTGCATATAATCAAACTTGGCACACACAATGCAAACTGCTTGTGCAGAAATTACTATACATCTCTCTCAAACAGATGCTCTAACTAACCACGAGGGCCTTCTACAGCAGGTTTGCTGCAAATTATATTGACGACAGATCCACCCAATATTACTCTAAAAACATACAGGGTGCCATTCCAAGGGAGGCAAAGATTGTAAACAGAGAAGTCCTGACTGATGCAGTGATACCCAGAGGTTGTGTGTAAGAGGAAATTAATGTCCCCAAAATGGGCATTACTCCATGTGATCTATAGTATCTAAGGGATTCACTTTTGTACAGGTTAGTGGCTGTATTTGTAAGGTGTAGCTATGTAATCACACTTGGCACAAACAATGCAAACTGCTTGTGCAGAAAGATTATACATTTCTCTCAAACAGATGCTCTGACTAACCACGAGGGCCATCTACAGCAATAGAAGAAGATTTGCTGCATATATTGACGACCGATCCACCTAATATTAATCTAAAAAAACAAAATATCTCCACGTCATCTTCAGCTGCAAATCGAATGCTTGATTCATTAGCAGTAAAGTCCACCGAAAGACGATCTGCTGTGAACGCCTCATCATCAATGTGCCACTGAGGAAAGGTAACTAGTGGTGTCGTACGACACGTGAGAGTAACAGAGCTTCCAGATGGCACATGCACTGACGCGGGTGTGAGTTCAGCGGAATAACCAGTTACATTAATCCCGCATTCAAAACCTGGGAAAGAGAGAGCAGAGATGTAGATGAGTAATTTATTTCCACTTTCCAAATGCAGTTAGCTATACTTTTCTCACATGTCGTCCGTATTGCTGCAAAAGCCAATAAACAGAGCACTTGAAGTGAAAAAAACATCCTGTCGCCGCCGGGCAGTGCGAGGGTAGCGAGCAGGAGCGAGCTAACCCAGCTAGTGGTCCGAACGGGGTAAACGTCTACGAAACTCGCACAATTGTGACCTTTGGTCCGTAGGCGGGCTGCACGGCGCGGTATATACAAACCACCCACACATCCTCAGAAGTGGTCAGTCAGCACTTCGACACTTCTCAAAATAATATGCGCACGCGTAAACGCATGCTGAAGGGATGGTAACTATAATAATGCGTCCCCGGCCAAGGAATTTCAGCAACCACTTTACACCCAACTGTGATGAATAATCATTGTGCGCTATAATACTAACGCGTGCGCGCATACATTGCAGAGCTTGCGGAGCAAGCCTGCTTGACTCAAAAGCTGGTAGACCCTTGCAAGACTTGCTATAAAGTAACTGGTAGGAAGACTCACAAAAACGTCCTTTCCATTTACATAAACGTGCTTATTACATGGCGCTGAGTGACTGCAAACCAACAGATTCAACAGCCTTGTCGATCGCTTGCTGCTCTAGCTAGCTCAATTACTATAAAACGTGACGTCCCATTACACGCACACATTGCAGCGCCATCCGGCTTGGGGCTTTTTGAAGCAAGCTGGCATTTGTTATTAGCAAGCATAAGATGCCTTTTACAAGCTGTGACGAATTTATGGAATTTTCCAGGTCTGCTGACCCTGCTTCAACAGTTCTCAATAGGATGCCTTGTAGTGGGGTTACTATAAGTAAGCGGACTTTCACCAAAAGGTTTTGAAGCCTGCTCTTCTAAAACGGGTTAGAGATCCCCCCCCTTGGACATTAATTAGCTGATGAGTCCACTGACACAGTGACACAAGAGCAACTTGGGTTGAATGTGTGATATATTAATGTTGAGGAGGGGGAAATAGTTGAGGATTTTTTAGAGCTAAAATGGTTATTGCGGCCTAATACTGTTGATAATCTGTTTCCAACAGTAATGGAAGTAACTGGCAAAGAGGATAACAAAAATGAGCTTGTAGGACGAACTGCTGATGTTCGTGGCGATAATGATATATCAGATAGTGGAGGTGTTATCTAACACCCCATTTTCTGTACCAAAACTGGCAGGGTGTATTGGAGCACCTCTGAGGTATATTATACACTTAGTATATAGACGTTTACAAACACTCTTAGGGTGTAGAGTAAACCATGGCACATTCTAGTGCTCACCACAACACCGAAAGGTGTAAACCTTCACTGACCCAGCAGGTATGCCACAACTTCCTTTCTATGCTTGTGCATCGTTGTTGAAAGTCATGTTATGTTAATAACATAACGTTTCAGAGAGTTGCAATCTTCCCTGTGAAACCCCCAATAATTACTACTTAATTCTACAAAACCAACAAGCCTCACAGTTTTAGCTCGGTATAGCTATTATTGTTAATGTATGCTGCAGGCAAAAAGCACATTCCAAATGGTAGCTACAAAGGGACTCTGATTGCTGATCCATTTAGTGAGGCGGCTATTGACTGCAACTGCAGATTAAAAATGATGTACTTCAGTACACCATTTGTGTACAATCAGGAGGATCAATTGACTGCTTTGATAACCCATGTCATGGTGAAAAAGTTTTCCTAGCAAAGTGCTTTGCAACGCCATTGAAGTGACAAAGCTGAAAATGAACAATTGTCTCAATATTCTGCGCTAAGATGATTGTGGAGACCTTTAGTATAGCAGGTGTGGCATCAACTTTGTTGTACTTAATATGTAGTCAATGCTTTTTAAACCCCAGATGTTTCCACACTAACATAATTATAATTATCAGTGACATGTAATGAGGAATGCTGAGTGCAAGGAGGGGAATGCAATGGGAATTCCCCTCCCCTCCCCTATTACCCCCCCCCCCCCCTTGCGTTCCTTCCCCCTCCCTCCCCCCGGACCCCCTGTTTTTTACGTGGAATATCTTGTACACGGAGTCTGATTTACCTGATAGATGGTAACTGTACTAGCACATCGGTGAGCAAATATACAACCGTCTGCTCTGTTCATTGAGCCACACCCTTAATGGCTCTTGGCATCGACACACACATATTCAGGCTCTACATTGACGCATGTTTCAGTACTGTCCGTATCCTATTGCTCAGGGCATTAGCCATGACTGCTACGTGAGGATAGTTCTTTCGTATAGCTGGTCATACTGTCGCACAGACATTAACAAGAATGATATTATTAGAGTGGAGCATTGGGGCGGCACCCAGCCATCATGGCGAATTCTCTGCCTACGGATGACCCTTATACACGAAGCCACATCATCTTAGGTAGGATTGCCAAAGACGACACAGAAGACAGCGGGGAAGGAATAGAGCTGATGCTTGTTGCTTGCTTGTGTGCCACGCTTGCTGGCTGCCGAGGACAGGGGCTGCTGCTGCTAGCCTGCTTCGTTGTCACGCAGATAGATAGACGCTGCTGTCTGGCCAAATGCTGCTGATGCTATGCGCATGCCTCGTTGTACTTTGGGATATGCCTCATTCAATGGGCTGCCACTACTACCCTTACACCAATATGCCTAGTTGTCCCTACACCATACACTCTGTCTAATTGTCATTAAACATCCTTTAATGCGATGTGACTCTATGAAGTACTGCCCACCCTCACTGCCCAATGGGGTGGGTTTGGACTATGGCGGTATCGTGTGAAAGGGTCATCCCAATAATATAAAGGGAGAATATTTTCTGTGTTCACAGCCTCTGAGAATGGACACGGCTCTACGATGTGGATGCCTTGCGATTTTGCGTCTTCGTTATGTGGCTCTCACTTCATTGCCGGTGTGGCTATATTGACACTCTGAGGAAAAAGGAGAAGCTAATTAGAGAGGCGGTAGACTCTCTATATAGGGATGACACGGGTGAAATCTCACGTGATCCGCGTACAAAACGACTAAAAACTCGGTGAGAATCACTCCCTAGGCCTTCAAAACATACTAGCAATAGTCTACGGGCCCATATCTACCTATACATGTCCCCCAAGACCTCATACGCACCTCCAGTCGTCCACGGGAGAATTCGCTCATACGCGATTTCACGATTTTCGTGTCATCATATTCTTCATCTTCTTCTTCTTCTTCTTCTTCTTCTTCTTCTTTAAACCCGCTATCTCCTTACCAGTACCAGTTCAAGCACTGATTTTTTCACTGAAGGTCTCCAATTTCGCCGGAGGTGTGCACGGACATCAAGCGATCGTTTCTTTCTTGCCGCTAGTCACTACGGTAGATCATGGAGCTCTTCCTTGGTCGACACTGAACAACGCCATTTGCTGCTTACTCAGCATCGGTGAGCCTCGCGCATGCGCGAGGCAGGGGCGTTGTCCAATGCGCTTGCGAGCGTATTACCAGGCGAGTTGGCAGACCTGCAGAGAAACTCTCAACCTCCAGTACCTTCTGTAAGTAAGTGTGCACATTTCCAACTGGCTAGCTTGCTGTTGATTTGCACGAAGAGCAACTTGCCAGAGTCTACGCTGTGTTACGCGAGCCTCGCGGGGCACTCAGTCAAACGGGCCTTCATTGTTTGTCCCCCCAGGTTGTAGCCTGATTACCAAAGCCTGCCCATGAAACCACAACCATGTGCAATAATCTAATTACATCCTTGTTGAAGACAATACATGAGGTGAATGCGGTATCTAGCCCCTGCTTCAGGCACCATTATAGCTACTACTTTCAACAGTTACAATTTGTCTATGGTAGCCTATCTACAACATACCCATGAACATCAGAGTGACTATAACAATAAATGTAGTGTTGTCATAAGCTGTTAAAAAAATAGTGGAAACAAGTGGAAAAATCATTTCTTCAAAATGAAAGGGGGATATAGGGATGGCTTGAAGCACCAAAAAGGAAGAAACAAGGGGTCATTACACAGCAAAGTTGCACAAAGCTACATGACACCATCCCTATATCTTTGTTTTATTGTTTATAAGCAAAGTTTAACCCTTTGGACACCATGGGTATCTCCTTAAATAAGCAGAAATTGATGTATAATAATTATATTAACGCCTAGTATTATAGACATAATAATACATTCTTATGGACTTATGGAGGCTCTGGGCATATACATGCCCGTGGCTTGCTAAGGGTTAATATCGAACAAAGATATAGGGATGGTGTCATGTAGCTTTGTGCAACTTTGCTGTGTAATGACCCCTTGTTTCTTCCTTTTTGGTGCTTCAAGCCATCCCTATATCCCCCTTTCATTTTGAAGAAATGATTTTTCCACTTGTATAAATATATGGAGCTGTATACTATGCAAAGTCATAATTTTTTTCAGTTTATGAAGTGTCATAAATGGACAGGCAAAGATACCAATATTTGACCCTCTTTATTGTGTGTGATTATTTTTACTACAGTTATAATGAAAAGCACACAATTCAGTCACAAGAGTATCAATCACCTTTTCTTCTCTCGACCTTCTCTCTGTCTTGTAACTAACAGCTTTCTAGTGCTGGTTAGTCTAGCATATTGTAGTGGTTGGCACAGAATGTGCATACTCTTGTGACTGAATTGTGTGTGTCTCACTGCACTAGCAGTTTGCATCTTTTGTGTGCCAAGTGTGATTCCTTGATTCATTGTTTGTGCCAAGTAGTGTGATTCCGTATTCATTGTTAGTGCCAAGTGTGATTTTTTGATTCATTGTCTGTGCCAAGTTTCATTCATGGTTTCTGTGCTATATTATATATCATATATTTGTAAGGGCACCTAAGTAGAGGGAACATGAAGAGCGAAACAGTATGCGTGTGTGCTCTACGTATACAAGTACAACATTAGGACATGGATGCCCAGCCTTGAGAACTGGGGACGGTGGGTTAAGGATCTTTTATGGCTAGCCAACTCTCCCCACACATCCAATGTCACAGACTCTTTTACACATTACAGTACTGTATTGAAGTAGTTACAATCAGCTCTCTGGGAGACTTGCAATCCCTATGGTTCTACTAATGCACAATGGGGTATTTATAGGGAGTTGCGATGTCATGGTATGGAATTTCCTAAGGGGGAAGTGGGTTTGTTACTCTAGGGTCCTGTGGTGATGTATTTTACTCCAGTGATACTCACAAGTGTAAAAATGGTGTGTGTGTGTGAGTGTGTGTCCGTATGTCCGTCCGTCTGTCCACCGGTTTTCTCTCTAACCGCGGCAACTCTGAGCGTGAAACGTGGACATAATTATTATCAAGTAGGAGGCATGAATGGTAAACTAAGATTCTGGAACGGAGAAGGCCGGGGAAGCTGGTGAAACCGATGGCTGCCGAGAGAATAGAAATCATCGTGGACGATCGCTGTACTTAGATGCTGTCATCACGGACAATCACTGTCCTCAGATGCTATGCTTTGCGCGTGTGGAAAAGATTTGGTTGGTCTGTCTGTATTGATGGTTCGAATACAGCTGTATTAAAGGAAGAGCAGTCTCTGATCTTCTCTGAGACAGCCAACTATTGAACATCCATAATCAACAGTGGCGAGGGTTATGCACTTTCAAGTGCTTTCAATAATATGAATAAAGTAGTGGTTTTGGCACAGAATCTTGTGACAGCTGATTGCTGAAATATACATATAAGTGAATGTTTGGGTGTGTCGCGAACATTCTGGCACTACACGCTACGAGGCAGCCTTTGAACGATACCAGTAGCTTCAGAACGATGGAAGCTTGGCCACGATTTTCACAAAATGACTGCTGCATGCATCGCACCTTGCCGTTACTCGGGGGATGCGTATCTAGTCCAGCATTGCTCCAAAACGCTATCAACTGATGCAGCAGCGAGAAACTGGCTCTGTCACTGGCGCGTGGTGCTGCTTTCTGCACATGCGTATTGGGACATTAATGCTAACGGGCTCCTTGCACTGAGGGTTTGCACTTTAGTGCTTCTCAATAACTGTAGTAAAGATGATTCACACACTATAATGAGGGTTTGTATCTTTGCCTGTCCATTTATGACACTTCATGAACTGAAAAAAATAAATATGACTTTGCATAATATACAGCTCCATATATTTCCATTTAGCTTCTACCTTTTCCTCAGAGTCCAATAGCCCACAATGAAAGTGAGAAGCCAAATAAAACGACAATCACATGGCTTCCAATTGTAGAGCCATGATTTATTCGTCCATTCTCAGAGGCTGTAACAAGGTAATCACGATAAGTCTAAATGGTTACAAAGAATAAATTCACGTGCGGTCCATAGAGTGGTACTGTTACAAATGATGTTTGTACATTTTGTCCTGTGTCAAAGTACGATCAGCTACAAGAAAAGAAATATCCACAACACATCCCCTAATTTTTTATTTGGGGAAATTAGCCCCAAAAAAATCTGATTTGCAGATTGTAGCATGTGAACGATGCTACTTTGCTATGTGCAGAATTGTGTGATGGAGTTGGGAAGGGTGGATTACTGCCACGCACAAGGGTGGCATGGGTAAGCTGTCATGGCTAATGTCCTGAAGCAATAGGATAAGTACAGTAAACTGAAACAATGCGTCAAAAGAGTAGAGCCTGAATTATGTCTAGTGCGTTGATGTCAAGGAGCTATAATATTAAGGGTGTTGGCTCCATGACAGAGCAGTGGTTGTATTTTTTGGCTCACCGATGTTCCATTATAGCTACCCGTCTATCAGGTAAATCAGACTTACGTGTACAAGTTATTCCATCTCCAGTGTAATTCCCATTGCATATACATTCCCCTCCTTTGAACTCAGCATTCTCATCACATGTCACTGAATATAATTATGTTAAGTGTGGAAACATCTGGGTTTTAAAAAGCATTGACTTACATATTACAAAGTTAAATGCCACACTGCTATAATGAAGGTCTCCACAATTCCTCTTAGGGCAGAATATTGAGACAATTGTTCCATTTCCAGCTTTGTCAACTTCAATGGCATTGCTACTACTGCCAGAGCACTTTGCTGGGAAAACTTTATCGCTAACGACATGGATTATCAAAGCAGTCAATTGATCCTCCTGATTGTACACAAATTGTGTACTCAAGTACATTTCCTCTGAAGTTGCAGTCAATAGCCGCCTCACTAAATGCATCAGCAATCAGAGTCCCGTTGTAACTACCATTTGGAACGTGCCTTTTGCCTGCAACATATATAGCAATATTAGCTATACTGAGCTAAAACTGTGAGGCTAACCAGTTGGTTTTATAGCAGTGAAGTAGTAATTATGAGGGGGTTCACAGGGAAGATTGCAACTCTCTGCTGAAACGTCAACGCTGATACTCTTCTCAGAGAATTTTCTAATATCGGTTGTGATAGTCGCTAAACCATTTTCAGCATTGACCGGTTCTGACATTTCGGCACGATTCTCAGAATGAGCACAGTCTGTCAAAAGAACAGAAACACTGCAGTCATCCGTGTGTTCTTTAATGCCATCAATATATATAGTCAACGTGTTGTTAGCATTTGAGAAGAATGATACCTTCACATCATTGCATGAAGCATAATCAGTTGGACCTACAAACAGAAAAATAGTAATAGTGATAACATACTACCTGCCCCAAAACATTAATGAAGGAAATGCACACAAATAATTGATCAAGTAATTATATAGTAAATGAAGAGGGATGCACATAAAAGGATTCCTACACCGAGATAAAGAGTCATTCATAACCCCATTACTACTGAAATTTCCCACTAGTTGTAGCTACTACTAGCTGTATTGTATAATAATAAGTAGTGGTTTTGGCACAGGATGTGCATTCTCTTGTGACAGCTAATTGTTGAAATATGCTTATAAGTAAGAGTGGAGTCAAAGGCACCTTCCATCGGTGCTTGCTGGCCGCGACGTACCGGGTGCCCTTCCACCCCATATAGAGGGAGGCAAAGAATATAACAAAGAAGTCTTGACTGATGCAGTGGTGCCCAGAGTTTGTGTGTAAGAGGAAATTAATGTGCCAAAAAGGGCATCACTCCATGGGGTCTGTCTACTATAGCTACGAGGGATTATTTTTGCACTTTTGTACACAGTAGTGGCTGTATATTATTATTTGTAAGGTGCATATGATCAAACTTGGCACAACTGCCTGCGCAGACAGACTATTATACATCTCTCTCAAACAGATGCTCTGACTAACCACGAGGGCCTTCTACAGCAATAGAAGAAGGTTTGCTGCATATATTGACGACTGATCCACCCAATATTACTCTAAAAAAACAAAATATCTCCACGTCATCTTCAGCTGCAAAGCGAATGCTTGATTCATTAGCAGTAAAGTCCACCGGAAGACGATCTGCTGTGAACGCCTCATCATCAATGTACCACTGAGGAAAGGTAACTAGTGGTGTTGTACGACACGTGAGAGTAACAGAGCTTCCAGATGGCACATCCACTGACAAGGGTGTGAGTTCAGCGGAATAACCAGTTATGTTAATCCCGCATTCAAAACCTGGGAAAGAGAGAACAGAGATGTGGAAGAGTAATTTGCAGTTAGCTATATTTTTCTCACATGTCGTTCGTATTGCTGCAAAAGCCAATATACAGAGCACTTGAAGTGAAAGAAACATCCTAACTAGACAAGCTGCGCAGGGCAGCGCGGGCGTTTTATTTCTGGCGAGCGGGAGCGAGCAAACCTATTTAGTGGTCCGAACGGGGGCCCATAAGTCGTGGTACTGCGCATGCGTCTGGAATACGCGCCTTTTTTATCCGAAATGATTTCAACATTTTTACTCGCTGCCTGTCACTATCTCGGTCACTATCTTCCATTCAGCGGCATAGAGCCCCGGATTAGTCGAATTTGTCCTCGACGCTCCTAGAATGCCAAAAAATACGCAGTTCCAAGGCAGTTTATTTATAACATCCGGGATTATAAGAAAAGTGTGCTACAGGAATAAGGAACATGGATGCAAAACGTGATCCGGGATTATGGCGACGCCTCGACGCTATTATAATACCGGAAACTAGAACACTGGATATGAGTTGCTAGAATTTTGTGACAAACGGCGTGCCACACCTCCGCGCTGGATGAATCGGTCAGTGTGAGTGCAAAAGTACTCAAGAGGTAGAGAATGTCTGATCTGTCTTTGTTTTGCCTCTCTCTTGAGGAGCACCTGTCACAGGTTCACAGATATCAGCCAATAACAACAAGAACCAAGTCCAAGAAGAACCAAGTCCAGAAGTACCACCACCACAGCCAAAGTGGAAACTGAGCACAGTGCTAGGTTTCACAACTTGATCATACGATTCCCACGATACAACAAAAGGTTACTGTAGCTACTACGGTATATCCAGTGACAACGTGGAGCACACACAGAACATTCGAGATAAGTCACACTTACAGCACGCTAGTGATGGCATAACATAGAATAACCATACATGCAGGAGACGGAGGAGGTCCATCCCTCTCTTCCCAAGGGGGCGACAGAAGATGTCCACACCATGAACACTCGATCTCCTTCACCATAAGTCGACCAACTGCCAAATTCACGACCAATCACAGGATCGAGGAGGTGGTCAAGTTGGAAGTAGCAGTGGGGGTCGCAGCACTGGCACTGGACCTGCCACTGCCTCTACATCAGGCGACACCGGTGCTGGCTCTGACGCTGCAACTGGTGGCTCTGCAACTGGAACTGGAGGCTCTGTAACTGCAGTTCTGCAACTGGCGGCTCTGTAACTGGTGGCTCTGTAACTGACAGCTCTGACTGGCAGCTCTGTAACTGCCAGCTCTGTAACTGACAGCTCTGCAACTGGCGACTCTGCAACTGATGGCTCTGCAACTGGCGGCTCTGTAACTGGCAGCTCTGTAACTGGCAGCTCCGCAACTGGTGGCTCTGTAACTGACAGCTCTGACTGGCAGCTCTGTAACTGGCAGCTCTGTAACTGACAGCTCTGCAACTGCCGGCTCTGCAACTGGCGGTACTGCAACTGGCGGCTCTGTAACTGGCAGCTCTGCAACTGGTGGCTCTGCAACTGGTGGCTCTGCAACTAGCGGCTCTGCAAGTGGCGGCTGGCAGCTCTGCAAATGGCGGCCCTGCAACTGGCGGCTCTGAAACTGGTGGCTCTGCAACTGCAACTGGTGGCTCTCCTACTGGCAGCTCTGCAACTGGCGGCTCTGCAACTGGCGGCTCTGTAACTGGCGGCTCTGCAACTGGCGACTCTGCGACTGGCGGCTCTGTAACTGGCGGCTCTGTAACTGGCGGCTCTGAAACTGGCGGCTCTGTGGGTTTCCGGCAGGGAATTATTTGTATGGGTCAAAAGTAAGCGGCCCGGAAGACCTCCAATATATCGGTGGATAAGTTGCTCACAGAGGGCCCGAGAAATCAACAAGACCAGAGACAAAGAAACACTCTTGATACAGTCAACGCATCAGACAGTCACGAGTTGTGGGGAGACTGTGGATGTCCATGAATCAGAAGATGACTTACAAGAAGATGTCATTCAGCCAGCAAATGAAGTCACTGAGTCTGTGGACTCCGAAGATACTGCAGATGTATTATACCAGACCGAGATGATGTTCACAGTGACGACCATGACGGGGCCACAGCGACCCCACAAGAAATACCATTTAATCCCAGGCCACCAGACTCAGAACCCAATGCCAGCCCCAAACTCAAGTGCCTGGCAATGTACAAGAGGATCCCCAAGAGAAGATAACGGCAACCAATCCAGACGAAGGCTCAAGACTGGTGGCAGGGCTTCCCAGGCAATTGCAGGAAGATCTCAAGAGAGAGATCGCAGCCTACGGTGAGTGGTGAGACCCCAACCGATTTATGGATCATCTAATAATAGTTTGGGGTGAACTTCTGGGGAGGAGGGGTAGTGTAATAGACCAAGTACTTTCTAGTGTACGTCCTAGTACATTATATTATATCACTCATGTTTATCCCGCATGCGTATTATTTCACTCATTGTCATCGTCATCTCATGCATATAAATCACCCGCACATGCGCACAAGATTGGAGTTGGGAATGTCCAGAGTGTGAGAGGAGAAAGTGTACAATAACAGGTAAATAAGAAATATCCTGCAAATGAAAAGAGGAATTAATATAGGGATGGTATACATAAAAAGAAGGGAGACAAGATAGGGGTGGAATGGGGTACATGAAGCATGGTGTACAAACAGATGTGAGCACGCTGACACCCCCGACCCCATCACACCATCCCTATATTGTTGCGTAGGTAAAGTCACCATTACAGTATGTCAAGACTACATACAGGTCACAACAATATGCTTCATGTACCCCATCCCATCCCTAACATGTCTCCCTTCCTTTCATACTATCGCTATAATTACAAGCGGAAAAATCATTTCTTCAAAATGAAACGGGGATATAGGGATGGCTTGAAGCACCAAAAAGGAAGAAACAAGGGGTCACTAGACAGCAAAGTTGCACAAAGCTACATGACACCATCCCTATATATTATTTGTTCGGTATTAAAATAATTTTGCTTATAAAACAAAGATATAGGGATGGTGTCATGTAGCTTTGTGCATCTTTGCTGTGTAATGACCCCTTGTTTCTCCTTTTTGGTTTTTCCACTTGTTTCCACTATTTTTAACAGCTTACGACAACACTGCATTTATTAACCCTCGGCGCGCATGCGCAGCGAGGGTTACAGTAGTCGTTCTGTCTGTCTGTCCGTCTGTCCGCGCGAGTTCCAGCACTACAGGCTACGAGGCGGCCAATGAGTGGCACCAACTGGTTGTGAACGACGAGAAGATTGATATGAATGTGGCGATGAAACGACTGCGTTCCAGAGATATGGCGTGAAAACAAGCGAAAAAGCTTACGCGAGCGATTCATGGCGCACGCGCGTATGTGGGTGTCTCGTTTTGCCGGAGCTAGCATCAGACGCGAGCGATCCATCGCGCACGCGCGTATGTCGTTTGCTGGAGTATGCGCATGTGCTAGATTCCGCGTGGTTATTTTAGTTGACCTTGGCGGTTTTTGAGTTTCTCTCCTCAGTCATTGTTGATCTCTGTTCTCGACGGATAATAAGGTATGTCCGCAATGTAGCACAGCAGTTCACGTTAGACGAGCAGTTTGTGGATGCGGCCATGCCTAAGCGTAAAGCGCAATCTGGCAATATGAAGCAGTTCGTCGAGGGTTTTCACTTTAGTGCTTTTCATTGTTACAGTCACTCTGATGTTCATGGGTATGTTGTAGATAGGCTACCATATAGACAAATTGTAACTGTAGTAGTAGCTAATGGGGCTGCTAGTGCCTGAGGCAGGGCATTCACCTCATGTATTGTCGTCAACAAGGATGTAATTAGATTATTGCACATGGTTGTGGTTTCATGGGCAGGCTTTGGTAATCAGGCTACAACCTGGGGGGGACAAACAATGAAGGCTCATTTGTCTGAGCGCCCCGCGAGGCTCGCGTAACACCGCGCAGACTCTGGCAAGTTGCTCTTCGTGCAAATCAACAGCAAACTAGCCAGTTGGAAATATGCACACTTACTTACAGAAGGTACTGGAGGCTGAGAGTTCCTCTGCAGGTCTGCCAACCCGCCTGGTAATACGCTCGCGCGCAAGCGCATTGGACAACGCCCCTGCCTGGCGCATGCGCGCGGCTCACTGATACTGAGTTAGCAGCAAATGGCGTTGTTCAGTGTCGACCATGGAAGAGCTCCATGATCTACCGTAGTGACTAGCGGCAAGAAAGAAACGATCGCTTGATATCCGTGCACACCTCCGGCGAAATTTGAGACGTTCAGTGAAAAAATCAGCGCTTCAACTTGTTCCAGTAAGGAGAAAGCGGGTCTAAAGAAATCGCGTATGAGATTCTCGCGTGGACGGCTGAAGGTGCGTATGAGGTCTTTGGGAGCATGTATAGGTAGATATGGGCCCGTAGACTATTGCTAGTATGTTCTGAAGGCCTAGGGAGTGATTCTCACCGTCGTTTTGTACGCGGATCACGTGAGATTTTCACCCGCGTCATCCCTATATAGAGAGTGTACCGACTCTCTAATTAACCCTCGGCGCGCATGCGCAGCGAGGGTTACAGTAGTCGTTCTGTCTGTCTGTCCGTCTGTCCGCACGAGTTCTAGCACTACAGGCTACGAGGCGGCAAATGAGTGGCACCATTTGGTTGTGAACGACGAGAAGATTGATATTAATGTGGCGATTTTCCAGAGATATGGCGTGAAAACAGGCAAAAAAGCCAACGCGCGGTTGATCACGCACGCGCCCTCTCCTGCTGGCTAACTACAATTATAGCTATATAGCGTGCACGCGTCATGTCAATTAATCGCCAGAGCATGCGCTACGCCACGTTGGTTGTATATTCAATTTTGATCTCTGTTCCCTATGGATAAACAATAAACATGCTGAGCAAGGTATGTTCGCAATGTAGCATAATAGTTCAGGTGGCGAGCAGTTTGTGGTTGCGGCCTTGCCTTCCCATCTATAAAACGTCTGGCGAGAGCATTGAAACACAGAAGAGCAGATAGATTGAATAAAGCATGAGAGCCTCTGAAACACCTGAGCTATTGCTCTAACCGCTAATGCAACTACCCTGTGTTACGGTGAGACTCGTGTTACTGGCTCCGTCGATGACGCATGGCCCAGCATACAGCGATGCTACAACTCGCTGGTTTACCGCCGAGGGTTTGCACTTTAGTGCTTTTCATTATTCTCGTATTTATTGTATATACCCCCTTAGCCTCCTAGCCTCCATCCGCTTGCGTATACCCCGAACTAGTCAATTCGGAGCGACCATGTGCACATATAAACAATAACCGTCGGACATGCGCAGCGAAGATTACCGTGTAGCTACTTGTTCCTAAGTCTCAAGCTAACTACACACATTCTCCACCAGTCTTCTCCTATCTACCACTGTAACATCCCACTTCACAACAGCAAGGACAACTAAATTCCTTCCTGCACACACTACCTTTTTTGGAAACACTCATGGCTGCTAACATAAATTTTAATGCCCCAAAAGTGAATTGAAGCAGTCAGATCTACTGCAGAGTTCATTGTTCTCCGAAAGTAATGTACAGACTTTTCCAGGCACACGCCCATCCTCATGCACTTTGATGTCACACAGTGTCTTCACCTTCAACATAAAAGAGCAGGAACTCCTTTCACACTCTTAACGTTATCGTTTCATTTGTTATGGCAAAAAATAATGGTGGAACAAGTGGAAAAATCATGATTTGCCATTCCTACATCTCTGTTCATTCAGAGAAAAGATTTTTCCACTTGTAGCTATATATGCAAAAAGGACAGGAGATTGCTGATAAATGACTTCTTCATCATCCCGGATATTTTGCACACGTACCAAGTGACATATGGGGCACAATTCACCTGATAACAAAAAGTCTGCCCGTCATTTAACTCACCTAAGCCCCTAATGAAGGAAGGAGGAAAAGTAGACAGTAGTATTGTAGTACGTGATTGCCTTTCAACAGATAAGGATGAAAAACACTGCTTGAAGTAGGACAATTTACTGTCTTCTGTTACAACAGTAGATTCTCTGACCAACTATGAGTATACTTAGAGTTTACTCACTGTCAAACTCCTGTGGGTTTACTGTTGGGTATACTCTCTGTGCACAATAATGCTTAGTTTACCGAGCCAAGTAAATGCTAAGGGCTGCTTCTTACTAGATTACTGATGATTTACCCAGTGATAAACGTAACAGCAAATTTAAATGTGAGTGATAGCTACACATGTAAGTATAACAACTGAATTGCAAAAGCTACATATTATTTCAGTTCAGTAAGTTCGCTCAAAACTCATTAGCAGGTGGCCTTGTGAGATATTTAACTGATCTGCATCTGCTGGCAATTGAATGTAAAACTGATGAATGATCAACTTTATCATGTGTCTTATCAAGAATGGCAAGCAGCACTCCACCTACAGAGAACATGTCACTGTTCTTAGTTTGACAAGTAACACCCTGAATAACCTCTGGTGCCATATGTGTATAAAGCCTGGTATATTCTGCTATCTCAACAGGTGACAGGGAGTATTTGTAGGCACAATCAATAGTGCATGCTTTTCCAAAATCAACGATTAGGGCTTGAAATTGAACTAGAGGCGATGATCTAGAAGAATTCTTAAAAGAGTCACAAATGATGATGTTATCACATTTAAAGTCATTGTGTAACACATTGGCATCCTCGTGTAAATAGCGCACACCTTCAATAACTTGGACGATCAGTATAAACCAATCATCTCGAGGTTGTTTATCATACAAAGCAGAGGAAAATGTAAAAGATATTGAATGCTGACTCAAACCATGATATTGCATTACAATGGAATATGGGCGGCTCCTTAAACAGACGCCAAACAGGTACGGTACGTGGGGATGACCGAATTGTGCAAGGATTGAAGCTTCACGGCGTACATCAGCTAACAATGTTCTTGGCAAAGCTTCTTTAACTGCAACACTAATCCCACGATACAGTTGGACCTTAACTACGCCAAATGACCCCCGACCAATGTAACACTCATCAACTGATTGCATACTGGGCGGCAGAAGTAGATGTTTAGGATCAATTTCAAGAATTGTAGTATTAGTGATACCTGAACCACTACGAAATGACCTCGAATTCTTTTTTTGTGCCTGGAGATATTCCTTTCGCTGTTGTAATTCCCACTGCCACCGTTCCCAAAAAGACCTTGACATGCGCTTGTACTTCCAAACTTCAACCTGCGCCTTTGTCCTTAGCTCTCGCTCTTGCTTTAAAGTATCAGCTACAGCCTGTGCCGAAACTTCACTTTCCAAACGCTTCCTTTTACGTCTTTCTTTCCTCATCTTTCGTTTTTCAGCAGGGGTATTCTTTCGCCGTATCCGCCGGACATCCGAGCTCTCCATTACGAGAAGGTTGGAAGGTCAACACGTGAAATTGCGCATGCTCATATGAACTTTGTACTCTCTGCCCAAGTACTTTTGGCGGCAACTGCCCGCTCTTCCTCTTCACCTAGGACTCCTAAAAGAAGTGGTACCAGTCTTTTAAAAGACGATTTGTGGATCCGGTTTGCTTACGTGGTGCAAAAGTAGCATCTTTCGCAGTATGTATTCATGTTCAACGGCCAAGATGCACCCATCTTTCGGCTAGTGCGCTGCCAAGATGCACCCATCTTTTGGCAGAGTATGTGTGCATGTGTTGTTTGTTCGTACAGCTAAGATGCTCCCATCTTTCGGCTCGTGCGCTGCCAAGATGCACCCATCTTTTGGCAGAGTATGTGTGCATGTGTTGTTTGTTCGTACAGCTAAGATGCTCCCATCTTTCGGCTCGTGCGCTGCCAAGATGCACCCATCTTTTGGCAGAGTATGTGTGCATGTGTTGTTTGTTCGTACAGCTAAGATGCTCCCATCTTTCGGCTCGTGCGCTGCCAAGATGCACCCATCTTTTGGCAGAGTATGTGTGCATGTGTTGTTTGTTCGTACAGCTAAGATGCTCCCATCTTTCGGCTCGTGCGCTGCCAAGATGCACCCATCTTTTGGCAGAGTATGTGTGCATGTGTTGTTTGTTCGTACAGCTAAGGTATATCAAGCTATGGATTCTGATGACCAGTTCCACTTGTCTGAAAGGTAACTCGGCAACTTCACAATGACTTTAATTACTTTGTATTGGTTAGGGGTGACTCTGTATGGAACAAGAGAGTGAAAACCAAGCTTCGGGATGAGATATCACTTTCTGATAAAGAAAATGGATATTCATTATCTGAGATAGATTGTGAGTTGATATTTTATCCTGTATTAGGTACGGTTCCGCCCATTGCTCTGGGTACGTGGTCTATGGCTCTAGTGCTATGGCAGGCTCTAGTGCTATGGCAGCCACCTGAGTATTATTTATTTATTAGGTGTTCATGTTTTTGCAGTGGCTATTAAACGCTATTTTGAGTCACGGAAGCGTAATCACCGTGAGTGTAAACCGGAGCACAAACAAAGAGTGAGTGCACAAGAGAAACAGAGGAAAACAAGGTCTCGACGTCAGCGGGTAAGTGAAATTATACTTTTGGTTGGTATTTTTCTTAATATATATTATATTATGATAACAGCTTTTTGACAGACGCAGAAAATGTGTTAGGGGATCTGAGCAGTGTTGGTGGGATAAGCTTTCATTAGAATACATGAGTTTTGAGTCTAGTGATGAAGAAGATAATATCACAGTCCATTCACTGCCTTGGAGATCCAAAAGTGAGCCTTTATTTGCTATTTTCATGTTCAGCTGCCTGGACATTATTTTTTACCAGAACTGAATGATTTCCTGGCTGTACTCGACAAAAGAGCAGATGAAAATCGGCAAAAGGTTAAACACCATGCAGCCGAGCGGAAAAGAAGACAACATGGACCAGATGCGGCTTCTTACCCTCCGGAAAACTCTCCGAAATGGACAATTAGCAAGGATTGGAAGAAAGGTGTGTAGGAACTCATACTATTCTTTATAAAGCTACATGTGGTTACTTACTATGCAGACCATGTTCAAGATCAAGACACCACAGAGCATAATATGGACCTTTCAACTGAGGAGAAAGAACCTGAATAACTTTCCAGAACAAACTATTTTGTTATAATTTTAAGGCTGTAAAACTATTGTTGTTGAACTGAAAATATACTGTTAATTACAGAAAAATTACTTTAAAATACTTATAGTTTACTGAAGGATATACATCACCAGAAACTCTCAGTATATCTGCAGTACCAAAGTGGTTCCATATACTGTGGTGTACTCACAGTTTGCAGTGAGTGGACTGGTTGGTAAACCATCAGTCCACTCTTTGTAGTACTCACGATTTACTGTATATATACTGTCAGTAATCTGTCACGCTTCAAGCAGTGAAAGATATAGTGCAGAATACATAAAAACAAGAAACCAATCACAACTCATAGATGTAGCAATTTGTAGTATCTTTAGTTCCAGTAAGTAAAAAAGAACAGAGAATTACATCATACGCTAAGATTACATAACACGTACATGGCACACATGTATAACATAGTTATGCTACACTTCAGATGAACCACAGAGGAATCAATTGTCAGTGGCATCTCCGTATTTTCGGTTCCAGGTGAGCATGTACTTTGTGAAACACCGCAGATACAGTAGGACAAGGAAGTGGTTGTTACACAGACTTGCATACAGCCTCCATTGTCAGTGTCACACTCACTCACATTTGCTGTGGAGGAAAAATGAGAGTAGGTAAAATTGCAACACCTATAGCGATCCTACCCACAGCAAAGAGGGCCTGGAGCAAAGTCATCTTTATTCTTCAGAGGAGAATTGCACTGTTTTGTAGGTAGACTTGCATCATAGCAATATCCACTACGTTCAGTGTAACCTGGCAGACACTGGTTGATACACTCCAGTGTATGTGCATTACGGAGGTTGACACATGAGTCACAGAGGTTGGAGCCCTCTCCAGCACACCCTCTTTTGCAATCAGAATGACACTGGTCAGGAATGTTTGTCACTGACTCTGGCACTTGAGATACTCCGTAGAAATGAAACTCTACATCACTAACAACAGCTACACCAGTTATATCACGTGTTGTGATATTCAGAGTCCACTGTCCAGTTGGATTTTCTCCCCAGAACATGACTGACATGAATGGCCAGTCAACATATTCACCAGGTTGACTATCCTTTTCTCGTGGTTGTAAGAGAATCGATAGTGTCCCAGATGGTGATGTCAGTTCAATCTGTAAACTTCCTCTTGTGATTTGGTAAGAGTTCTCTGGTATAGCTACAGATATTTGAGTCACCACATGCTCCAAGTACTGGATTGATCCTGTGTAGGTCAGTGTTGCTGTAAATACCTCTCCTTCAGTTTGCTTCCTGTGGGAAAAATTGAGTGTGCTGCACGAGTATGCTTGCATGTTGCCAAAAGCTTGAACTTAGTACATGTCCAGAGGTCACTCAGGAATGTCTGCCCCCACACATAGTATCCAACAAAAAACAAAGAATGAGAATTTCGTCACTACTCTGCCCCTGTCATAGCTATATAGCTAGTAAGTTGGGCCGTAATGATTTGTTGGCGTGGAGTGTGCTACACGCTTATGCTTGCATGTTGCCATAAGCTTGAATGTAGTACATAGCTAGAGTTTACTCAGGGATGTCTGCCCCCAACATACATATCCAGGTTTTGCACACAAAAAAGAGAATTTCGTCAGTTACTCTGCCCTTGTCCTTTATATAGCTAGTAAGTTGAGCAGTCATGATTTGTTGGTGTGGCTAATTTGGAGGTGTTTTGTACGACGTTGAATTTGACCAGTGCCGTCTAGAGTGTGTGTAGATGCTCTGATCGTAAAGGAGCCAGCGATAGTTTTGCTGGCCAACTCACACTTGTGGTTCTTTGATTCTAAGCGGTGCTATGAGCAGTAGAATGAGCAGTGGAATGGCACTAACTTACTGAGAAACTGTGGTAATTTGGTGCTGTAACTGAGGAGGTACATTTATCCAGTGTCTGGCTCTGGTGACCATGGCCTCAGTGTCCATCACTCCAAAACCATACTGACGACTCACTGCCAGACCAGCTCCATTCCTGGTCAGAGGCCTCGAAGCAGCAGCCAGATTAGTGTTTGCTGTGTAAGCTATCAGATACTGGACATCTCTCCATGTCAGACTTTGGCTACAGGTGAAAAAATAAGAAAGTAAATCTTAGCCATCACAACATTGTAGCAGTCAGATGTTTGTCTCAGGCTATAGCCATTAGAGCTTTGGCAAACCCTTACTTGGCCTCCAGGGCCAGAGCAATAGCTCCTGACACCAAGGCAGCTGCTGCACTCGTCCCTGCAAAATTTTGTGTGCACTTTCCATCTAGATCTGTGGTTACCTGCAGCAAGGGTTTGTCAGTTTCACATCCAGTGGGTTATTTTTACTCTTACGGTATTAACATTTCCTTCCACAAAAGCTACAACCATCTTGGCAGAGCATCGCTCATCAAGATTGCTATAGCTGCCATTCTCTCTAATAGCCCCAACAGAGATGGTGTATATACTGGAAGCATAGCCATCTGCAGCACAATCATCTTCATCTCCTCCATTTCCATTAGCCCATACATATACGGATCCCTTCCCATTCCGTCCCTACAATTATTATAATGCATACAAGTAACTACACATGGTGCACGGTCATTTTTCTCACGTTATTCACTCCAATTTCAAGAGCTTGTTTTGTCATATTACCAGTAGCGTTGACGGTATATCCACTATTGATGGGCCCCAGCTGTTGCTGTACACATCAACAATGTCCACTGCATGCAACAGTGCCACTGCCACTCCCATGTCAGTTGTAGACTTACCATCTTCTAACAGTGCTACACCTGTAGTCACAATAGTTGTAGTAAATAGCTGCAAGTGCAAAAACATTTCTTCAAAATTAAGGGGGATATAATACTTATAGAGAAGGCTCGAAGCACAAAAAAAGGAAAGAAGCAAGGGGTATGTAGCTGCGAAGACACATGACACTATCCCTGTATAATTATATCTTTATGACATTATTTGCCTGAGTCTATAGGACAAAGATATTAGGGATGGTGTCATATTATAGCTTATAACCCATTTCTTAGGTATATACAGTCATGCTTATTTCGACCATAATTTATTATGAACCAGGCTGATGTATAAGAAGTGGAATCTGATTGAAACAGAAAGTGAAACATGAAAGTTTATGGGCATAATGCAGCATAACCTGTCATCCCTTTCTTTTGTAAGTACTAAGGTACTCAACTAATGATATGCCTAGCGTCTGTAGCGTATAGCTACGTGCAACATTCACAAAGAATCTATAGCTAGCAAAGTTGCTCACGTAAACCAGCGCTACTGTGGCGTAGCCTGATAGGCTACGCCAATTTAGGCGATTGCTACATTGGGCAGTTGCGATGGTTTGTACAAAACAGAAGGTAGCTGCTGGCAAGGGTCTGTCAACTTGGTAAAGCCTTGGCACCGGGACAACGCCCCTGCCTGCGGTGCATCTTCTAAAGCTCAATAGCTGCTGAATTAACAGCAAATGGGGTCTTTCAGTGTCTAGCTACCATGGAAGTCAAGAGCTCCACGATCTACCGTAGTGAATTGCACAAGAAAGGAACGATCGCTTGATGTCCGGGCACAACTCCGTCGAATTTGGAGACATTTGGCTGGTGGTAAGGAAAGCTAGCAGGTTTCCTGAAGAATGGATATGAAGATAATTACTAGTGGAAATGCTTGGCATTCTTTGGGCGAGCGGAGCGAGCCTTAAGTGTACTGTAATGCAAGTATAGCTACAACCATCATCATTACTAGCGACAATATAGCTACGTACATACAATTCAGCAAGTAACTGAAGTTAATATGGTATTGTCGTAATATTATAAAATAATATAATTATAGAGAGAGATTTTTAATGGGAGTCAAAAAAACTCATGGGGTTAGGCCTTTGTCCATATTTGTGTGGGGCATTGAGAAACACGCATTCGAACGCTAAAATATTATGTAGAGGCTTTGATACTGGTAGTCTCCTGAATCAAATATCAGAGTCGTATAAACCTATGCAACTGTATATACTGGTCATCAGGGGAGTTCCCCATTGTTCATCATGTATCACATGTTTCAGCCTCTTTATACTCCCGACATGTAATACACTCCCGAATGGGGCGAGGCCACTCCACCTTGGTTGGTAGCAGCTCTTTGAAGAAAGCACCGCGGAGGAGAGTTCTCCCAAGCCGATACCGGGCGCAATCCCCGATAAGTTGCTGGTAAGTAGCTACTGACTATTAGCGGCGGCGTCTCAACTTTTCGACGATAGCCCGACAGGGGAGAGCCCTCCCGCTTCCACACTGGGCACTGGGCACTGGGTACTGTCGAAGACTTCGTCGACGATGTCTGAGAATCACTGTTATTAGCAGCATCGCAACAGTTCGAGTCAGGGCGATGTCTGAGCAGTCTCAGCTCGTGATCGTCGCTTCTGGACGCCCCAGTTTGCGCGTACTGTAAACGGGAGGGTGTCAGTTAGAAGTAAGCCACCTGACCGCAGGTATCTTATCGCTAAGAGACCTGCGTGTAGGTGTCTTAGCCCAAAATGAACCTCATTAGCTATTCATTTGGCTTTCTATGCCACCCTATGCCCCTGATATTATAAAGACTTTTCTCATTTTCAAAGCATTCTTGACATTCCATTTTCTTATAATTGTTACACATCTAGCTACGTATCTAATTTTTCCAAACAGGGAAGCCAGAAGAAGAGAGAGAGAGGGTGAGAGAGAAGAAACCACTAGGTGCGGGAGGTGGCGGCGGGCGGAATCGTAATTAACTAGGTATAGACCCGTAGACTATTGCTAGGGTGTTTTGTAGGCCTATAGCGAGTCATTCTCGCCTCGTTTTGTACGCCGATCACGTGAGATATGACCTGTGCCGCGTCTACCGACGCTCTGATACTAGAAGGCGAATGGAGGACATTTTGGGGGAGCTGGAGCGAGTACACAATGACTGTATCTGCACGAGCCATCCTAGCCTTTTCGTAACTTGCACCTTAGAACCACGAAGATTGGAAAGAGGTATAGCTATAAAACTTTGGTCAGGCACCGAAGAGCGCAGCGAATGCTGCAGAATGGACGAGAGTCCTGTCGCGGCTAGGTCGCACGTCGAGGATCAGGCAGCGTCGCTTCGGAGCGCGTAATCCAGACGCATGCGCAGTTGGACGACGTATATACGGACGATAATCGCGCCGTTCGGACCACTAGGTTTGCTTGCTCCCCGCTCGCCGATACTGATGTGATGGAGGACAAGTTAATATACCACAATTTGCAAGGGCTGTACGTGATGTCTCGTCAGATTGGCACGAATAGACACATTCCTATAGCTGTATACAATCTTAGCTATAATTATTATTATTGGGATGTGTGCTGTAAAGTCATAGCATCTATATACCACCATCTCAGAACAAGAGTGCTCCGGTATGGGGTGCCAAACTGGTCAAAAAGCCATTTTGAACTCTCAACTCTCCTACTTACATATATATAGGCCTTCTATTTGTCAAGTACACAACACTGCTGTTTCATGTAGGAGACTGCTACTTATTATATAGGAATCCTCTTTGTCATATATATAGGAGTCCTATTTATTATACAGCACTTCTAATTATTATATAGGAGTCCCATTTATTATACAGCACTTCTATTTATTATATAGGAGTCCTATTTATTATACAGCACTTCTATTTATTATATAGGAGTCCTATTTATTATATAGCACTCCTAGGACTCCTATAAGTATGGTAAATAGGATTGCTATATAATAAATAGGACTCCTATATGACAAGTATATATATATATATAATAAATAGGAGTGCTATTATATAGGACTCCTATAATTATAACAAATAGGACTCCTATATAAGATAGGAATTCTATACAACAAATAGGAGTGCTATATAATAAATGGGACTCCTATATAATAAATAGAAGTGCTGTATAATAAATAGGACTCCTATATATATGACAAATAGGATTCCTATATAATAAGTAGCAGTCTCCTACATGAAACAGCAGTGTTGTGTATTTGACAAATAGAAGGCCTTATGTAAGTAGGAGAAGTTGAGAGTTCAAAATGGCTTTTTGACCAGTTTGGCACCCCATATAGCTATATTCCTGTGTTGTTGGAACTCTAACACAGTTCAAAGCATCTAACATGGCAAACAATAACAACTATGCTGCCTTTCGGTTTCGGATGTAAGTGTATATAAACACCATGGGTAAACACGGAACTCAGGGTAAGGTATCGTATAAAATTAATGACGCCACCTGTGGCAGTGTCTGAGCACTTGTGCAAGAATTTGTAAAAGTGTCAATTGCTTGTTGATCCAAAAGAATACCTGACTTCAGCCTGTATGGTTTCTCTAGCCCTCTTAGGTATGGCACATCTTCCCTGGTGTTTTTGTTGTACCACAGTATATTAAAAAATTCTGAGTGCTGGTTTTCAAAGATCCTTTCTTGGTGTCAACTAGATACTAAACAAAATGTTGATGTATCCTTCAATCAACTTGTATTAACTAACAGCAATAACTGGCCATTAAATTAGCTACATCAGCACTCACTTCCAATGTTGCACTGGTAGGCAACTCCAACACCACATGTTTTATTATCTTGTGCTGCTCCAACTATTCCGGCACACCTTGTGCCATGTTCGATGGTTGAAGTGCATCCGTTATCTGAGATAACCATGGATGCTGAAGGAGCCTACACAATATTATTATAGGTGTCAAAGGTTGGAATGCAGTTGTTAGCTACCTAAACGTTTTCCACAACATACAAAATTTGGCCAAAGGTCAGGGTGTCGAAAGTCAATCCCTAAATTGAGTCAGACAGTAACAGACTGATTAGTCGAGTTGAGAAATATTATCTGTGATTGCAAACCTTGATCTACAACAGCAACAGTGATGCCGCATCCGGTCAGCCCCTGTAACCAAGCCTGCTCAACTCTCAAATCATTTTTTCCATCTGTGTTCCGCTACAAGAAGAGCGATAAAGTTATAGCACTCACTACTAGCTAGTTACCACAAAAACAGAACAGTTATTTATACCAAGTTCCACTGCTTTTTGAAATCAGGATCTTGAGGAGCCGCGTAATAATTTGTAACTCGAGGACTGCGGACTTGCTGTTCAGCAAATTCAACCTGAACATGTGGCATTGTGGCAGGCTTTTGTTGCTGTAGAAGACGTTCTATAGCCTTACAAACTGATCCATTGAAAGGCTTGACATAAAAGGAGTGTCAGGACTAACGCATTGTCCGCTCAGCTGAAAATGGTACACATCTTGAAAACCCGCAACCTGCACGGGTCAAAAAACGTAAGTTGAATGTATATTATACTATATAGCAGATGTAATAAACTTTTCTGCACGCACCAAGCCGATATCACTAAACCCATTTCGAAGAGCTGCAATTTCTGCCGTCACTGGTCCACCGGGAATCTTCACGGCCCAGCTGTTAATATAGGTGTCGCCACCCCACTGACTGTTATCTTTTACACTGGAGTCAAATCTCTCTGCTTCAATTATAGGAACAGTAGCAAGCAATAAACCAATAAGAAAGACTCCAAAGATTCGTGCCATTTCCACCCGTTCTCGTACCGAGAGTCGAGGGGCGTATTTGCGTGAGGGGCGTACTTAGCTATATAGCAGCATTATGTCCGTAGTTTCTAATCTGCGCATGCCCACAAACTGCGATATAGCTAGTGCACCTCATGAAGCTGTAATAAATATGCTAACAAATTCATTCCCAGAGGATAGGTTGTTGACACTTTCTTTTACACAAGAGAGTTTCTGAAATTGTTTTGCTTATCACACTTCTTATATTTACTATTCTGCAGGCTAACAATCTGTGCAAACGTCACTAACTAAAACTAACAAAGGGCAATTGAGAGAGTGCAACCTAGAGATCCAGTTGCGTGTATATATTCAAGAACAATTTGCTAGCAAACTTTAGGAAAAGACAGTGGGATTAATGAAATGGCTATGAAGACTCTGCGAGACTTTCTCCTCTCTGCATATATAACGCCCGGTGTCTGTGGACGTGCCGTGTATGCTGTGGGGGCGCGCGCTTTATGCGTTGATAATTTTAGTTTCAGACTGAGCTGAGCATCGGCTTAATGGAAGCACTGTGAACTCGGCACAGCTCGTACCACACTACGCATGCGCAAAAAGGCCGTAGCGCCACTGGCTAGCTCGGGCAACGCGGGGATAGATACTCATCCTCCTTGTAACTGGTATAATATACTGCCACTGTGCTTTGAACAGACTTACAAGCGTACAGTTGAAGAGATCGTAATATGTTCCTCACATTTTCAGTATAATATTATAGCTAGCTAATTAGCTGACTAGTCGCGTTGTCCTCGGCGAGGCGAGTAACAGTTGATACAAAGCTCAGGTCCGGAGCAATCAATTTTTGAGTGCTTATATAGGCCAACTTGAGCGTGATGAAGCGCGCAAAGAGCGCCGTGCCCAATAGTTGGGGGGGTTGGGGGCATGCTCCCCCAGGAAAATTATGAAATTTAGGACATTCTGAGAGTCTTTCTGATGCGATGATACGGCCTCTTGCCGGGCCTAGATAGTCAAATTTAACCATGCCCATTGTCGGAACCAGGTCTGCTGAATAGGCCTTGACGAAGTTTGCTAGCATAATTTTGAGCAAAATAGATAGCAAAGTAAATAAGCAATTCTGCTAGCAAAATGGGCTGTCAATTTTACCTATGAAGCAAAATAGGCATCTTTGCCCTGTTCCTACCAACCACCCACGCATCGGCGCCTCTGTGCCATTTAGTGACAGGCGTTTCAATGTTTCGCACGGTAGAATACACGTTTTATTAGAGGTCTACTTTTCTCCCTCGAAATGTTCTGAGCTTAGGCCAACTGTTGTCGACATTGATAGCTTGCGAGTGTTTCCATTTTTGGATTCGCAACCAATGATTGATGGTCTCAAGGCTGAGTTGCCTGCATACTTGGCTGCTGGGGAGGACGTATCTACAAGAAAATTGCGTACAATAAAAAGCAAAATAGGTACACTTATAAAGCAAAATAGGTAAAAAATATTGAGCAAAAAAGAAAAGCAAAATAGGCAGAGAAAAAAGCAAATTTCGTCAAGACCTGCTGAAACGACCGCAAAAACACTAAAAGAGCGCTTGGGGAAAATGAACGATAGGGACGGCTGGTGAGGAGCGGTGGAAGATCAACAACTTGTAAAGGCTGTGAGTTGGCACCGCTGGCCATTGTCTTTAACGCTGTCCCCGCCGCGACGGTCCGACGAGAGATCGTTGCAGCTGCCGGGCGCCACGATACGCCATATGCTCTTCATCATCAAATGCGCATGCGCATGCGCAGCCAATCACATAAAAGTGGTCCGGCCAAAACCGTTATGTACCCATACCTGTCAACCGTCCCGAATCTGGCGGGACAGTACCGATTTTTGCTGCTATGTCCCGCTGTCCCGCCAAGCACGTCACTTGTCCTGAATTCCCTTCGGTGGCTCGTTCCTGCGCGTGCTTGAAATGAGCTAGACAGCACAGTATATACTAATCGCATCGATAAATACGTATCTCATTGTCATCACTCTTCAGTCGCTAGTAAAATTTGTGTGTCCCTACTTTTTACATAAAATCCTGAATTTTTGGAAGCATAGTCCTTCCTTTTTTACTGGGAGGTTGACAGGTATGTGTACCGGCGACGCCGGCCCTGAAGCTAAGCCACACCCGCGATTGGTATATACACGGACCGTCACGCTCACTAAATTCCGTGTTGCGATTGTGCTTTACAGTACATGATAATGGTAGCAAAAAAGAAAACAGTCAAAGTGGAGGCATTAGAGATGACATGTACTGAAGGTACACCAGATAGATGCTGATGTCCTAGAAGGTAGAATAACTAGTAGCTATTGATGAGCACAAAAACCCTTAGCACATGGACATACATAATGGAAAGGACAAGCATATAGCATATCCCGCACTGGATATATAAATCCTGCACTGGATATAGCATATCCCGCTCCGGATATATAAATCCTGCACTGGATATAAATCCCGCACTGGATATAAATCCTGCACTGGGTATATATCCAGTGCAGGATTTATATATCCGGAGCGGGATATGCTATATCCGGAGCGGGATATGCTATATCCAGTGCAGGATTTATATATCCAGTGCGGGATATGCTATATCCAGTCCGGGGTATGTATAATCCAGAAGGGATTTGTATAACCGGCGCGGATTTTACAAATGACGCGCGGGATAACAAAAAACAGCTATTTGCAAAATTTTGAGACAGACGGCGCCCCATAGAGAAAACTCTCTAGATTTGAACTTGGTCCAGAAAACTTGGTGAAGTTGTGACTTTAAATGGTATTAATGTAAAGGTCGAGACTGATTGGTGGAGGAGAGTTCCAGAGTTGTGGAAGTATAGGTTGAAGTAGTGGTGAGCAGAGCATTAGACTTTGATAGTGATTGAGTTAGTTTTTGATGGGTGGAGGACCGAGTGATTCCTTTAGAAAATGGACATAGGAGGGGATAGAAATGGCATTTGAAGTATCGGGATTCTTGAGGCAGCGAATAAAAAACAAGACATCCTAGAGTTCTAGCTGCATCATCAGGGGTAGTAGATTGAGGGACAAAAGATTATAGTCAGAGTGACGATGTTTATAGTCAGAGTGAAAGTCACTCAGAATGTATTTAGTTGCACGTCGCTGGATACGTTCTAGTGCTGAGATGTCTGATGAGATTGGGCCTCCAGATCTGTGAAGCATAGGTGAGCTGAGAACCAATTAGCATGATGTACAGGTTATTTTTATCCTGAGAAGAAAGTGCGCCGGATAAGGCCGAAAATGTTGTAAGCACCAGAGAAACTAAACATCAAGTGGTTGCTCCACTTCAGATCGCTAGTCATTAAAATACCGAGATCACGATGGCAGTTAATAGCTTCGATAATGAAACATTGTTCATGTAGTTAAAGTGAATTGAGGGAAAGTTTGGAGCGGAATCTGAGTAGGACACATTTTGACACATTGAAATGTAGGTTCCATTGAAGACTTCAAGAAGAAAGGTGTTGAAGATTTTCTGACAGTCAGATAAGGAAGCACTCCTTTTTGACAGTAATGGACGAGCGAAGCAAGCCTAAACCTAGTCATTTGAATGCGGATTTTTTTCTTATGAGATCGCCACTGCCGCTTCGAAGTGCAAGCCCTCGACGAACTGCGCATGCGCGATACTGCTGCTGGGCTGTGCTACATTATTCGTGGACTCTCGATAGTAGCTCGCGGAGAGTCTGACACGGGCTAGCTACAGTAGTAGATAGCATGCGGGAATCGATACATGCCATTCGTTGTGACTTCCTGAGCCCCCTAGGTGCACAGAGTGAGCGGGTCCGATCAGGTCGTGGTAAGCCCGGTGCGATTATGCAATTGGCTTTTTCGCTTGTTTTCACGGCATATCTCTCGAACGCAGCCGTTTCAGGAAAAACGCCTAATAATTTTTCAGGCTCGCGTATATAGTTCTTAGGCCGCCTCTTAGCCTGTAGTGCGAGAATAGTAGTCTGATAGACAAACCGTCACACGCACACAGACCTGTCACGAAAAACTTGGACCTCCCTATTCTGGTTCCTCCCGGTCCAAATATTTTGAAATATTCGGACCCCCTAACTTATACTATTGCACAAATATTTGGACCCCCGGTACAGCCGTAAGTGCAGGTACGTATATACAATACGGCTGACAGCAGGTGTGTACGACCCGAATTTCTGGGGGGGTTGGGTAATTTCACGCGTGGCCTTGAATATCGTTCCGGCGGAACGAATATTTCGGGGGTCCAAATATTCCGTGACAGACCAACCCTCGCTGCGCATGCACACCGAGGGTATAATTATATACCAAATACGTGAGAAGCAAGTGCAAATAATGTAACTGCTCGTTTCGCTTGCCAAAAATGTGTTCACCCTTCTTCATAAGAAGTAAGCGCACCCGGATTATTCCTTGTTTTTGCCCTATTATTCATTTCCACAATTCCTATGAAAGCTCCCATTTCCCACACAATTCTCCCTATTATTCTCAAGTATTCTCAAGAATATGTATCAGATTGTAAGTGTATGTCTCTGTAGCTAACTATACGACATGCTTTGAAGACGAACTCGGCAATCTTTCTAGCAGTGCCAATTTCAGACTCAGCCTCAATTTTCACTGCAGCTTTGGCGACAACAGATTCTCAACCTCCACTGGCATTGGTATCTAGACCCCATGCAGAAACATGCATGCTTGCCCCGCCCCCTCAGCTAAAAAGCAGCCTATTATTCCTGAATTATTCCCGCTTATCTGCACTGCCTATTATTCCAAAATTATTCCGGAATAATCCGCACAGGCCTAATGGACACAAACACCCTATTAGCTCATTGCACTATTAGCGCATTCAAAAATGCATACATCTACAAAGAGAAACATGTGCAACATCTTTACCGAAATAAAAAAGCATAGAGGTAAAATCAGCATCAAAATAAAAATTGTCCATCATTGTTCGGCTTCATTCTTGGGTGTCTTGGTTGCATTCAGTTTCCTCTCGATGGTGATGGCGGTTCCCTGCTCGGCCGTGGCAGTCAGAGCCTTCTGCAGCTCCGAGAACGAGAGCCCCAGCAACGACTCCAGGTCACAGACAAACCGGTAGACGTAGCGCTGGTTGGGAACTTTCTTGATGATGTTCTTGTCGTAGTAGTAGCGGAGACCGCGACTCAGTTTCTCGTAGTTCATGGTGGGCTTGCTCTTGCGTTCTCCCCAGCGCCGGGCGACCTCTGGAGGGTCGGGTGATCTTGAACTCCCAGTCGGACTTGTTGGTCCACTTGATGCAGGTCTGGCTCTCCCGGTCCGTGAGCAGCTCGAGGAGGAACTGCCACAGCTGGATCTGGGACCCAGTGCTGAACTCCACCTGCGGGGAGGATGCCGCTCCTGGGTGGGAGGAGGGACTGATCAACAGGTGCAAATGGAGGGAGAACGGGAGGGGAGATAGGGGGAGTGGAAAACAAAGGGAGGAAGGGACTTTGTGTGTATGAGGCAATCTACTATAATATGTGCATACATACATACGTACTGAGGGCCTGGGTCAAGAAATAAGGAGTCTGAAAGTGGGTAAATACAGTGGAACCTCCGAACAAAGGGCACAATGGGGCCTACGATTATGAGAGGTTTTCCTTATCTCGGAGGTCAAATAATGCACTAAAGTATTATATGGAATAGGATTGGAACAAGTGTCCTTTGTAGAGAGTGGGTCCCCTATCTCGGAGGTTCCACTGTAAGTAAAGGTACACATACCTGGAGTGGTAGTCTGTCTCTGAGGGGTGGAGACAGTGAGGGAGCTCCCGACGGTGGGGGAGGAGAGGAGGGAGGAGGAGGTGGGGAGGGAGAGGAGTGGGGACGGGGAGGAGGGGAGGACGGAGGAGGATGTGACAAGAGGTGATGCATGAGGAGTGGGCTCCATGCTCGTAGCTACTGCTGTTGTTCCACCTGTATTAAGATAAGTCCTGGTGTACATCGTGTCATAATTCCAGCTGGATTAAAGTGTCAATGCACACTTTATATGGGCATCTGTGGATTCTTACATTCGGAGAAAGTGTCTATGGTTGCTCAGACAATGTGTACCTTGTGTCTGTGTCTGTTGCTGCTGCTGCTGCAGAGCCTGCAGTAACTGTAGGTAGTTTTGCCCCATTAGTCCACTGAGAGCTGATGTCAGGGATGGGGAGGCTGGAATATCAGCTGGAAGCCCTGCATAACGTACACATACACAAGCTTAAAATTACACTGGAAGTTATACAAAAGTAAATGTTAGGAGAGGATGAGAAAAGAGTTCACACTGAGAAAAGCCCTTTAGATACGAATGTTTTGGTGTGTTGGGTTAATAATAGCCCATAATACTCTACCATTGACATGCCATTCACCCCACAAGAGGGTAACACAGGCCCTTGGGAGCACATGAGTGTTGACAAGTACTATATACCAATGTGCACTCCACAATCCAAGCTGCAACCAGAAATGACGTAACGCTTTCTCCATTTGTAAGGTGGACTGGTCAGCTAGCTACCTGGTATAGTGGGTGCGGTGGTAGTGGTAGATGTAGAGGCAGTGCCAGAGGTAGAAGAGGTGGTGGAAGAAGAGGAGGAGGAGGTAGAGGAGGAGGAGGCGTGAGGGGGGAGAGAGAAAGGACTCCCGAGGCCAGGCCAGACCATGCCCCCAGTCCCCGAGCCTGCAGCCATGGCCTGCGATGCCTGGTTCAGAGCTGCAGTGGACGACCCATCAATCGGGACCCACATCAGAGAGTAGTTGTTTGCTGAGCCTGCAGTATACAGTTGTTCAGTGTGCATCAATTCCACACACATGGACTCCAGAATACGTGTACGTGAACACAGAATGTACACACGAATATGGCACAATGTCTGCTATGTACACGTAGCACATAATATGCTTGTGTTCCAAAGGAGATTGAAGCTTGTACGTATATATACACATGTACACTCAGCGATACAGCTAGAAAACGCCAAGCATGCTCATTACAGCAAGTTACTTGTAGTACGCATTAACCACTTCCTGTTGTCAGCAATCACCTTGCACCATTTGAAGTGATATTAACAAAGAGATGGTTTGTAAAACACCGGTTCATTGTGCTTGAAGTGATTACATTAACCAATGTATGCAGACTGAGGGATACACGTACTTATTAACAACATACCAGGATAGTAGATGAGACATGGGAATAGTGCAGCTGCAGTAGCTCCGGTGTTGCCGTCTTTCCCTCCTGGCCCATGTTCTACAGAATGGGTGGCACAATCACAGTATGACTAACCCTTCAGGCTTGTGTTCTGTATGAACACTTAACCTATAGTTGCAGTTATGGCCACAGGAGGGTGAGCGAAGACTGAAGTCAATTCTTACCAACCTTTGCCATTGCTGATGCTAGTGCTAGTAGAGGTAGATGCCTCAGAGGTGGAGGTGGGCGGGGCAGTCTGTGAGCCGGGTGGGAGGGAGACAGTGGTGGAGGTGGGGGGAGTGTCCTGGGCTGCAGTGGCCGCCAGGGTCTCCAGGGCAGAGCTGTCCAGACCCAGCATGCTGGATATGGCTGGCAAGACATCCCCTAGTGGACAACAACACCATTCTCCTTCACTAGCCGGCTACCCAATTAATGGCAGAGGAATCACTCTGAAAACAAGGAACACTAATCACTACTATTATTCATTACTTCCCACCCAGTGATGTGGCCAGTTACTTGTATACACCAGTATTGTGTATGACACAGTAAAGAAACACAATGTACATAAAACAACATTGTACATACATATAAGTGCACACAGTACATGCAGTCATCAAAGTGTACATTGTGTATATACCTGCAGAGACACCTGAATTGGCAGTGAGTGTGTTGGTGAGGACTTCAATGGAGGAAGCAGGTAGACCCAGGGAAGCTGCCATTGCTAGAATCATCACAGAGAATATAAAAAGGTTATTATGGTTTGTGTGAACATTCTGATCTGATCTAGTACAGCACTGGCAGTGACTTGCATACACACATGTTATGACATCATAGGTAGAAAACATGGGTAGGTATATAGTCAGGAAATCCGGCATTTCCCCTGAATTTGGAATGTTGGCATGGTCCTGACTAAGTGGTTAGGTACATACATAGGTAAAGCGGGGTGTAGTGTAACCAGTAGCACGTCCAAATTTTACCCACCAAGGGTGACAAGGATGAGAATCAATGACAGCCATAAGTATATAGCACAGGAGAGAGGCTGAGAGCTAATACAGTTGGGCTGGCAAGCAGGTCCACAGGAAGTGGTGACCAATCACACCAACTTCTGGCTGGCCTTCTTCACCACACCATACATATCCATGACCTAACAACACAGTACTATGTACATACATACCATTTTGATAGACATGTGTACACTTTCACCACTGCATGAATCAAAAGTCACAAGAAAAAACTGAAAGTGTAACACAGCTACAGCAAAGCATAATGCTGGATATGGCTGGCAGGACATCCCCTAGTGGACAACAACATCATTCTCTTTTACCTAACAAACCAGTAGGTATGTACAGACATACCATTTTGATAAAAACATGTGCACACATCAACCACTGCATGAATCAAAAGTCACAAGTGCATGGCAACAAATCCGCTACAACAGGACAACACAACAAGAGCAAGCATGGGTGAGAGTCCTAGGTAGCACTCTGCTCCCTAGCATCCTTACAGACGGAAGTTCAGCAGGCAGGGCTACAACGCAAATCCCAATAATTGTATACAGATGTATCCAGAAGAACTTTAGGGCAACACCGGATCGCATACAACTCCACAATAGGCCGTTTCAAACACAGACTCACTTCCAAGAATGCAACTATAATATGCAGGTGGGTAATATGCATCATTGCAGTAGGCAGAGATGTAACTACAAGTTGTACACTTTCATTGGCATGAGGACGCCATTATGCAATTAGAGAGGGTTGCAGTAGCAGGCAAGGAGTTTCTGTAGACACACTAGCCATCAGGTTGGCAATTACCAATTACAAACACAGTCAAAACAGCAAGTGCCACCTCTGTTCATACCTCTCTCCCTCCCTCCTTCACCCGTTTTCACAGGTCGAAACTACCGTGCTGCATTACAACATAATACACGTATGCAGTACATAGTGTGCAGATGTAAGTACTATGTATGTATGTACGTATCCGCATTGAGAGCTGTTTGTGGTCCGCTAGAAAGTGTATTTAGGAAGTAGCAAGTGCTGACGGAAAAAACTCTGAAAGTGCAACACAGCTACAGCAAAGCAAACAATACTTGTCACGACACTGCATCTGCTTCAGTATGAGAGTGGGTTTCTTTACACCCTTCTTACATGCTACTATATAGCACTTGGTGTGTGCTACACATAATATTGGGCTTCTTTTGCTAGTATAGATTTGCTGAGACTGGGTCTGTCCATTCAGAAGTGAAGTTAGTGGGGTTCACTAATGTTGAGGAATACTTGCTTACTCCTGCCAGCTAGGGCCAAAGCACCAGCTCATTGAACTACAAACTGCACACAATTCAAGAGGCACAGAGTTCAGTGAGTTTGGTATAGGCAGTACACAGGAAGGCAGCACCCATGAACAGGCACACAATGGGTAGCTATCAGCGGAAGAGGCACAGGCGTACACGGGCGGGAAAAGGGGGCCGATTCTATTGCAGAGGACCAAGAGCCAAACGCGATGCCGCCCTCCGACAAAGTCCGGCTTTGTCAGAAAGAGGAAACTCACCGGCAATAGCGCTAGCCGCGCTACTTCCTTCTGGGCCAACAGATCGTGGGGTTTCTTCCGCTCCGGCTCCGCTTCCGCTGCTCATGGCGGCGATTTGAAACTGGAGCACGGGACGGCACGCAGTAGCGGTATATAGCCGGTGAGAACTTCCACCGTCTTCACTGGAGCTTCAGCGAACTGGTGATTTTGAGGATCGATCAACTGCGTCGGGGCGGCGAAGTGCCGGCTCGGTGGGAGAGACCCAGAATGGCGGGGCGGCGTTTCTTGCACTGAATTTCTCTGGCAGTTGTATAGTTTCGTCGCGTTCTGACGGTACTAGAGTTAGAACACGATAGTCCCCTTAGAGGTCCAGCTTCAGGATCGCCGAAGAAAGCTAGAGATGAAGAGATTTGCTGACTTCCTTGAAGGAGAGTTGTTTACTTCCTTAGGTGGAGGAAGGTGTCACGTGAGTTTCGCGGTTCAAAGGCCATCTTGCCGTTTGGCCTCGCGAGTCGGGAATGAATGAGCATCAAGATGTTCTTATGTCCAAGGATAAAAATTGCAGTGCAGTATAAATCCAATCACTACATAAGACAGAAAATATAGGACTATCAGTTGTGCTTTATGAAGTGATCTTGATTGATTGTATCCAAAAGGCGGAAGTAGGCTTGTGACAATCGGTTTGGCCAGGTGTGTGAGTGAGAGAGAGGAGGGAGGTGAAGAGGGAAGGCCAGGGAGGGCATCACAGAGGACTCCGGCAGCAAACCAGTAGAGAAGAGGTGAGGAGGAGAACAGGAAACGTGTGAGAACCTACATGACATAATCAATTCATTACATCTGCACATAGCCTTTTGATGTTACAGACACCAGTGGGTGAAACAGTGGCAACAACTACAAGGAATGGGGAAGGTTACCTTGTGTTTAACAATTCTTCCTATAATTTATCTGGAATGTTAGTATAATGTCCCTGAGTCATCATGTGGGCATAACATGGACATGAAGATCATGTTCACACACAATAGAGCGGTGAAACCATACCTGGACGTGCATGTTTAACATCCCAAATCCAACAAGGAACACCAGATGTACTGCATAAGCCAGTGTACCAAAACAACTGCAGCAGCAATTAGTAACACAAGGCACACACAACAGACATACACACCTTCCTTTGAGTCCCCTATAAATCCCAGTATTTCCACAGCAGTAGCTGTAGAGGGTGGACAGAGAGAGCCAGAGTCCAGGGAAGGCCAGCAGGAAGTTTGGGGTCTGTTTCCACTCATAGTAGCGAAGAAATCCAACATTCCAATAGTGCTGCTGTATGTAAGAGTAGGCCAGAGGTAGTGAGCGCTGGCACCATTCATACGTCCCCTCTCCCCTGCTGGCAGGCAAGTGGCAAAACTTCCAGTAGCTATAGAGCTGGAATAGCAAGAAAGGCAGGACTACCACTAGACACTGGACTCCACAGACAACTGCTTTACCTACAAACTTTAGAGTTCTAAATGTCAAAGATTTTGAGATGCTCGTATTCTGATACAACCTATGGAGATGGTAGTAGCCAATAAAACCAGCCAGGACTATGCCATTGGCTCTGGTGGCAGAGGCAAGAGAGAAGAACAGACTAGCACCCCAGGAGTAGCGCTGGGTGAGGAAGCAGAGGCCGGCAAAGGTAAATAGAGAGAAGAGAGTCTCTGTGTAAACAGTGGACATGAACACACTGGCTGGGTTGACACAGAACAGGAGGACTGCATAGAGTGAGAATCTCTGGTTTCTAGACACAGACAGAGTCAGTAGATAGAGAGCGGCGGCTGCTAGAGGGAAGGCACACAGGTTGACCAGAGTCCCCGCCACGAGGAACAGACTGCGGTCTGGCAGAAGGAAACTGAGTGGCCAGAGGAGAGTCCTGCCCACCAGCCACATGAGACAGGGATAGAGCGGGAAGAAGGCCATGGTCTGGAGAAAGGGGTAGCCGTGTGTGGCTATGAATATGAAGTACTCAGAGTCCCAGTTGTCGCATCCTCCCAGGAGTGTCTCGGTGACGAGGTCGTGCTGTGGATGTCTGTACGTCTTCATCTCAACATCGTCCATTGAGCCCTGGTGGTCTGGTACTAGGGCATTCGACACCATCTATATACATCCAACATTGTATGCAGTCTAGACATCCAGAATACAGCATAGGTAGCTAGATAGAGGTTCATATACCTGCCCAACGAACATGGCCAGCTTGAAGACAAAGGCCAATCTCAGAACGCACAGAGAGTCTTTTGCTAGTATGATTAATTGCTTCAACTCGGATTTCATTCGAGCTGCTTCAGGTTTCATCAAGAAAATCATTCTGTAAGTTCTTCTAATTGTCGCACACCCCGGCGTGAACGCGCATGCTCGGGCAAGCCGAAGGCGCACAAGCAAGGAGGGAGAGCGATGCTGTTCTCCGCCCTAGTAATCGCGACTGTCCTTCACATCAGAAGTGTGGTGGGGGACTCGAAGTCTGGGGTGGTGGACATCCAGCCGTGCTCCGTGGCCACAGGAGTTGTGTCCCGCAGTCTTAGCATCGCATATTCTCTCAATGGCAACTTCTCCCTCTGCCCGGACCAGTCTTACCAGGTCAGGTGGGCCACCTCTAAACAGAGCCATGGGAATCCGAGCCATGTACAATTGGTAAAACAACGCAGGAGTCCCCATAATGTTTTGCAACTGCATAAGAATCAGATGACTTCAGTCCACTGGCTGAATCCGTTGACTGCACACACTCACTCTGAGTCTGTACCCATGCAATTCGTTTTTGAATGTTCGGGCATGCTAACACTTTCCGGATCAATTTGTGAGTATAATCACAGGGTGCCCATGAATGAGAAGGCTGTTTTGGAAGTTTTGAATCTGCAGCCATGCACTACATCATTAAAAATACTGGTGAACTGTCATGGTTAAAATACAGGTGAACCGGCATTTTCTGGGTGTTTTCAGTTTGTAAACCTTGCACAGCAAGGGTTACAATAACCTCAGAGAAAGTTTTTTATCTCTTCTCCTTTTAGACACAAATTACCTTTTGTGTCCCTTCCAAACAAGTCAGTAGAGTATAATAGTGAGTAGTTGACACCCTCTGTATTGTTAGCTGATGTTGTAAGACAGTCAGGCTAGTGTATATTTCCCTTGGTTTCCGAAAAGCAGATGTGTGTACTGCGAGCTGCTGTGTTGACATTGACTTTCACTTCACTGGAACAAAACCCACATTACCTGAGGCTTTATACATAATTATACTGGTGTTTGCTGCTGTAGCTTGCTAGTGAGCCCATTTTCTGTAGTACTGTTTATAATGGATTGAGGCTCTGAAGCGAGGTGAGCATGCCCTAAAAAAATCTTCAACCTGTGTCATCCCTATATTATACATACTAAGTACTACCGTACTTAGTGATATAAAACCCCATGAATCCGCTTTTCTCCATAACCCACTTGTCCTATATTCTTTGACCACACTCTACTTTGAAAAGCCTTTGTCCCTGTTCAATAGGACTCCATGAATCCACTCTTCTCATACATTATATCACTAAGTACGGTAGTACTTGGAATATAGGGATGACACAGGTTGTCCTGCATTATGCCCATACATTTCAGATTTTCATGTTTTACTTTCTATTTCCAACTTTTGACACATCAGACTAATTTGTATCGTCACAAAGAGCATGTATCCAAGAAATAGCTTAAATCGCATATCGGTACTTCATTTATTCAAAAAAGGCACTTTTCAATTTTCTTGTTGTTGTTGTTGTTGTTGTTGTTGTTCAGTTTAGACAAGCGTATCTCATAAACCGGGTAAGATATGGATATGAAACTTGCACAGATATTGGAATCCATGACAGGTCGTGCAAGAGCATTTTAATTTTTTCGTAAATAACAACAAATAGCCCCAGGCAATACATTATGATAGAGACAAATAAAGTGTGCTAACACGTGGTAAAGCTAATACCCAGAGTGGTATAACTTGGTACACTGATGTACCATGGTGAGAGTTCATCGAAACAGAAATTACAAGTTTGTAAACAGCCTCAGAAAACTTGTAAACTATATTATTGCCTATAACTTGCTTATGGTGGGACCTCTAACTATGGAAATTGGTATACTGATGTTTCACGATAGGAGTTCATCAAAACAGAAATTACAAGTCAACAAACAGCCTCAGGCAATGAATACTTGTAAATGGTGTCTTATTGTGGGTCCTCTAACAATAAAACCTGGTACACTGGTGAGAATTCATCGAAAAATAAATTACAAGTTTGTAAACAACAACAAACAGCCTCAGGCAATTAAGTGCTGTTTTTCCTATAACTTTGTACACAGTGAAAGAAGGTAGATGACGACTAACAGACCGAGGAAACAAATACGTGTTACTTTTTATATAATGCCCCAATGCATGTGCATGCCGTAAAAAAAGGAAAGGAGACAAGTAAATAAAAAATTCTGCGAATTAAAAAAGTGTGGAATATAGGGATGCCATAAAAAGCAAGGAGACAAGACAGGGATGACCTGGGCAGTAGTACAAAAGGATGATTGTTACATCTTCAAACTGACATTTCTTGCTCATGTAAATTTTACTCAGTGATCTCTATCTTATGATGTGCAGCTATAACTCCTTTCCTATGCACGTAAGACTGGTAGCAAATGCCCTCTCTGACAGGTCCTCAGGTGACTGTTTACTTCAATGTTTGCTCAACTAACCGGTTTTACAATACTGCTTTCCCTACAGAATTCGTTTGCCAGTCTTCACACTACATTATTAAAAATCATGTCATGAGTAAGAGTGGCGACAATATAGGGCTTGTGTGGAGTAAAATTTACATGAGCAAGAAATGTCAGTTTGAAGATGTAACAATCATCCCATTGTACTACTGCATCACATGCCAAGGTCATCCCTGTCTTGTCTCCTTGCTTTTTATGGCATCCCTATATTCCACACATTTTTAATTCGCAGAATTTTTTATTTACTTGTACAATATATTCTTGACCGTTATTGAAGGAAAGGATTAAGCCACACTCTATATATTTTGAACACTTTGTCACAATGCATTAAGATAAGATATTCGAGTATCGAGAGTGTCCACATATACCAGCAGGCTCTGAGAGTGTCCACCTGGAGCGGTGGCGATGGGGGAGGCCAGGACTACCCTCTGGTGTTTGTCACCAGACAAGGCAGGGCTGTCGACTCCTGGACCATACCTTTCCAACCCCCCGAGTTAGTCCTATGTAACTCTCTGTGTTGAAAGTGTGTGGATCTGTCATGACATAATTATGCTACCTACTGTATTGTAAGTTTGCGCATCATTGTCGAATTCTGTTAGAATTGTCTTATTTTTTGTGCACAAAATGTGCCACTGTATTGTCTTGGCGTACATGTCATTAACACTCACCATTTTTACTGTAGCATATAGTGGAGTCATTACCCTAGCTTCATCTTAGTGCTTTTTGCATCGTCATAGAACCATTGTCCAAGTGAATATTATGCTTTATTGGCGAGCGAAACGAGACCACCTAGGCATCTGAATTTTTACATATGTAACAACCCATGGACCAACATTCCATGATCTACATGTGATTCTAAATACTCCGCGCTAAACGTGCACGAAATATCCAAACGCTCGCACCGCTCGTAATGTTGCGCAAAACCCGCACGACATGCTCGGGTTCGCTCGCCAAACAATGCGTTACATTCTTCTAGTTATCTTTCTTCCGCTATAATGCTAACATGTTTTCTCTACCCTCCATTACGATGCATGTGTAACAGTTTTACTATAGATTTTGACGGTGTCAATCGCACTCTCTGCTACAACAACATGACAAGTGTCAGCAACAGCCTGGCATATGTTGACGTTTTTACAAGCTTTGGAGAAAATGTTTCCTTCAACATTGTGTTTGACCCTGTTCCCAACTACACCTTACAGTACGTTTGGTTGTGTGTGTGTGTGTGCGTGTGTGTGTGTGTGGTTATTTCAGTTTTAAAGCTCTAAAATCTTTGTACATTGTACGTAGTATGCTGCATGCATGTGATGTACAATTCACAAAACACATATTTTGTATTCACTCCTTTTTCTGTCTGACGATATGTACGTCGTTGACAGAGCCTGTGTATCCTTAACTGGTCCACACTGCTACTGGTGAGCTGTGTACACATACATCCTTTTCTCTGCTGCTTTTTGCAGAAAAGACACTTGGTATCCATTTCAAGTCGGTGCATCAACACCTCAGGTATAATTGTAATACCACGTATGGAAAGACTCAGGCTATCGTACTTAATTGGTCTGTCAGTATGCTAGTGAACCATCGGCACAGCTTTGTCCGTTCAACTCAATGTGGGTACATGAATACCCTTGGATGACAAATGTCAGCTACAGCGTTACCCTACCTTAATGCAGCCTTTGGCCATAAATTTGGTGGAGCTTTCGAAACATCCACTTCCCATGGTCTGTCGCTTTGTGCCGTCTATTACAATGTTGTCGCTTTGTGCTGCAAAGTATTGCACTAGTGGTGTGCACTTTAGTGCTTTCCTTACATCAGTTTGTCTCATTGCTAGGTCCACGTGTTCAGATTTCCTGATGGGGTGAGGACAGTGACAGTCCAGGCTAAGGCTAGCAGTAGTCGCTGTGCTATTCTCTCCGTTCAGAACGTCTCTGTGAGTATTCAATATGGACCATGCATTTATAAACATCCTTTGTGTGGAGTGAACTATATATGGGTATTGTTTTGTTTTTAGTGTCCTATCAATGATCTGTTGGAGGAGATAAAGTCCAAAGGTCACTATCAGACAATGAGCACAGATGGATTTGTGACTATATCTGTAAGTGATTGTTGCATGTTTGGCAATGAGTTCCTTTTGAGTTATTTGTGGGTATTGCGGAGTATTATGTAACAGATAATGTTCATTTAGAGTTCTATACACATGATTAGAGGAATTATTATTGTGGTATATACTTGATTCGCAGAGAGACGTTTTCAAATACAGCTCCTTTTTCGTTGTCCTGATCACTACCAACTACTCAGAGTGCCACTCCAGTGACTATGTCACCCTCTCTCCCCTCTATGTCAATGGAACTGGTAAGCTCTTCGTTCTCCCACTGATCTCAACTGATACTTACTTTTCCTACCCACTATTCGCTGATTGTTACTTTTTCCTGCATGGTAGACTAGTGTAGGTTCGTGATCAAATAAGCGGGCAGGGGTTAAAATTTTGTAGTATTTTAACTAGCTTGTCTTTGTACGTGAACATGTCTTAAACGATACTGTAGTTCTTGGATTTGAGCAGAGAATAGATGTCATCATTCGGCCTCTTCAAACAGGTTAGTCAGATGTGTGATTGACTAAGTTAACCCTCAACCTGCGTGCACAGCAACGCTTACTGCGGTTCCAGTCTGTCTGTTTGGGTGTTCTCCACCACCTACAATGATGCAAAATATGCGCATGTGCATTCCTAGTATAATATATACCTTGGGGGGGATTCCGCTTGCTTTATGTATCAGAAGTTGCTACTGCCTAGAACACTCTGAGCCCGCATCAACTCTCAGCAAGGCATCGAGGGAACCTTCCATAATTATTGTCCATCCCAAGCAGCTTCAATCCTCTCACTTATTGGTGTCAAACTATACGTAGCTACAGGTAACATTTTGCTAATAAATTATATACTATGTCTCTAAACAGGGAAATACATGGTCATCATGTACCTTGTACATGTTTCATAAACGTTCACAACATTCTGCATTAATTTGTTAACATATCTTTCTTTAGCTCCGGTTTTTCCAATTTTGTTCCCACTCATCCTCTTTGGTGTCCTTTATGCTATCACACTCGTGTTCATCGCTGTGGAATGCTTATTGAAATGGTAATTTTGCAGTTGTAGGTTTATCTACAATCACTTTGTAATGAAAAGCACTAAAGTGCAAAACCCGGCGTGCTGCGCATACGTGATACCGCCAATTGTTGGGCTGGGCTATTAGTATGCATTTACTCGTGGTCTCCCGCTAGTAGCTCGTGGAGAGTCTGGCTACAGTAGTAAATAGCATGCATAAGTCGATACATGCTTTCCGTTGTGACTTCTTGTGCCTCCAAAGTACACAGAGCAAGCGGACATGGTCAAGGTAAGCCTGGCTAAATTTGCATATTGGCTTGTTCACTTGCCTTTCACGCCATAACTTTTGAATGCATAAGTTTTATCAAAATCGCCTTCTTTAAAATGAGGCCAGTGTAGCGATGAACCTGTTGGTGTCGCTATTTCGTTGTCTCGTCGCAGAAAACGTGCTAACAGACAAACGGACAAACACACTCACGAACCAAGTACCGTAACCCTAGCTGCGAATGCGCGCCGAGGGTTAATAATAGTAAAATACTGATTTCAACTTTCCTCATCTGCAGTCGGTGGTCTTTTCCTTGCAAATGGGTGTACGTGAGAAAGACAAACGTTAGCCAAGGTATGTTGTACCCAACTCGCCTTGTGTGCTGCCTTATATATATATGTGCTACGACACACACAGTGGTGCGTTGTGCCACATGTATGAATGTTACACCAAGAGTGGGATTGCACTGCTGCGCCTGTTACACATGGAGTTTGTGTAGAGAAAATGGTGGGCCAGGTCAAGACTGCGTTAGAGAACGTACATACCTGGGATTACATACATACTTGAATTTATTCACAACTGCGGCACTTAGTGTCAGTAGGTACTAGTACGTACATAAGCATGTAAGTGCGAGTACAGTTTAGCTAATTTCTTTACTGTGGGGAGGCCATGTTGTCGCACCTTTGAATTATTGGACTGTGTTGCATTCGTTCTAGTTGTATATGTAACTTATTAAAAAAAAGTGCTCTAGAATCAATGATTTTGGTAGATGCAGATGGAGAAAGACTTGTGCCCACAGATAGAACTATGGGAAGCTTGAACACGGGTGGAGATCACTCTAGTGGAGACACTGCTGTTGGTATGAACAAATTCCTCAAACCATGCCGGGCAGGGAGGTGTGAATAATCTCGTATTTCTCTTTTCAGAAGATTCACTCCAGCTCCATGTGATGGAGAAGGTGAGAGTGTACATGGACATGTGAATAATGTCTGCTGTAGAAAGGTGCATTGACATTCAGTATTAATTCTTGCAGAAGCCTTGGAGTATATACTAACACTGTCATTTACTGAAGTATGTTACTATAGCTAGTACCCATAGTAACCCCTCTGGTACCGAGACCATATATAAGTACCCAGGCTCTTCTGAGCGAGGAGAAAGAGCTACTGTATGTTATTAGATACCAACTTTCTTGCCAAAACACATGACCATCATGTTGGCACAGAGATCTCAGCTGTTTGGTGCTGACCGTGTTTGTGTGTGTGTGCAGGCTGAACGAGATTTAAGGCTGTCACATCTGTGTGAAACACAGCTCAAGACTCTCCAGTCTCACTATTCCGTTTACAGCTGGTGTGTGTGTGTGAGCTAGTCTCGTGCTAAAACCACACCCACTCATCTAGTGGAAAGGGGGTCTGGTGACATTATTTGGTTCTAGATCTCGAAATCGAGATCTCCAATCAGACCACAGAACGGCCAATAAATGCCATGTGCATGCATCTGTAGTCCATAGGTAGGGCCTTGTATGCTACACATACTATAGAATAGCTGTTTGGATGCAACAGATGTGGCGTCTTTACGACCAAGTCATGACCTGCCACGTTTCCTTTTTCTCTTGGCACGAGACTCTATGTAGTCCCTCTTATAATTATTGCTGTACTCTTTACTCCATAGGAATACTGTGACTGTTGGGATCTTCTATGGCCTCCCGGCTTTTCAGCTGGTGCTCTCTCAACAACTGGTAATTACCCCAGGGGTGCATACACAGCGGGGGTGAAATTGGGTGTTTATAGCGAATATCACCTTAGAGGCTGACCCATATGCATTATACAGCTTCAAACTTGGTGGAATAACTGTTTTGGATTCAAAACTGCTTCAGCCAAACCTCTTTGCATGGCATATGAATCAGAGATAACTCTTTTTTGTATGGGAGTGAGTCATTGTACGTCTGTGTGTGTGCTCATTTGTATTGCGTGTACCAACCAGAAGAAAATGTGGTGTGAATGGCTTAGTGCTACACTGGGTAGATTTTTCTCTCTCATGTAATGTGGTGTAAAGAATAGGTAAAGAAGGCAATGTACATAAGCTTGCTTACCTTGATCAACGCCTGACTATTTCCCTGGTACTGTAGAAGACATCAAAACTAGGCAAGCATTAACCCTAATGCTGCCTATAATGCGATTCAGCTAACCGCTGTGTATGTATGTTTTCATGCACATGTGCATGTGTACACATCCACACACAGCTTGCAACCAGCAGTGGAGAGGAAGACCTGTGCTACTATAACTTCAAGTGCTCTCATCCAGTTGGTGTGCTGAGGTCAGCACATTACACCCCACAACATGTATGGCCACATTATGCTAAAACTCTCTCACTACAGTTCATTCAATAATGTTTGGAGTAATGTTGGGTATTTTCTACTTGGAGTTCTTTTCATCATCGTAACTTTCATCCGGTACGCTGCTAAATGATTTACTAGCTACTTGATTTCAGTATTCTATATTTACTTTCAGGGAGACTAAGTATACCCGTCTGAGAAAACAGAAAAGACCATACTTTGAAGTTAGTCGCAATGCTGTACCCTTCATTTTGAATGTATGTTCGCAGAGGACACTTTGTAGCCGCATGTTAAACCCAATCTGATGAGGGCATGTTTAGTCAATCTAGCTAGACTCCCTGCGAAATTTCAGGCGTAAGTTTTTACCATCCCAGAAGTTGTCCAGTTTATGCATTGTATTGTTAGTAGCCGAGGACGAATATTACAATAACGAACCTTCTCTCCTTAACAGGGAGATACGGGTGTAGCTCAATAGGCTATGGCTTGTTATTTCCCATTAATATTGCAGCAACCAATACTACAGTGTTTTGACAGACCACATTCCCCAATTTTGTTTGAACTCTATTATACCACACATTTTCCTTTCATGTGCAGAAACGAGGAATACCACAGTTCTTTGGCATTTACTATGCAATGGGTACGTCTGTGTGTATATAATTCACTGGTCTTCTGGTATAGGTAACTCACCTAGCACTAGCATACCGCTATAGCCCTAGTCCGAGGTCATGACTGAGGCTCCAATACAGAGGCAGACCGATACCAAAAGGAAGTATTATACATGAAATTGTTATGTGTACTTTGATAGCCTGAAAATCACTGTTATCTTTCACTGGAGAATTTGCCTTACAGCAGTCAATTTGTACTGTTTGACATTATGGACATTTTGTTAGGACTGGCTCTAATCCTGGAGGGTGTAATGAGCTCCCTCTATCACATCTGCCCTACTAACGCCAATTTTCAATTTGGTATGTACACAAAGTGTTGCCTGAAATACACTTACTAATAATCGAGGGCAATGTGTGTAGTGTCACTCAGATTAGGTGGTGGGTTTGTTATGTGTAGGTGCTCAGGTGTACATATAGTATGCACATAGGAAAACAGTTTGAGTGTGTTCTATAGAGAACTAAGAGCACACTTGGCACAAACCTTGCGATAGTATATACATGAGAACTAAACAGCTCACGCTTCACATGAAGAAAGTAGAAAACGAGAGAGAGAGAGAGAGAGGGAGGGGAGGACTCCTAAAGGGCTTCATACCTACATTAAATAAGACAAAAACAGCACATTAACAAAGACCAAAGCTCAGACATTACAACGTGGGACTAACTCTACATGCGTGCAGGAAGCAAAATAAATCTCTGAGTGTCGCCTAAATCTCTTGCCGAACACATAATTATTTTGTTTCATGACAAACACTGCCAGCAGAGCACTACGGGTGATTGTAAGTATACACATGCACGGTACCACTATTAATTGATTGGCTGGACTGTTTTTACTATGTACAACTCGTGGTCTCTTACTAGCTCTCTGTGAGTCTTAGCTACACTACTAGATAGCATGTGGAAGTCGACTCTCGCCGTGCGTTGCAACTTCTTGTGCCTCCAAGGTACACAGAGCAAGCAGATCTAGTCGACTGTGCTAATTTGCATATTGCCGTTTTTTATACTATTACTCTCGAACGCTGTACTTTTCCTATCAATCAAGTGTGGTGCTCAACCTTTTAGTATCGCTCTTTTGTTATCTCATTGCACTTTGTGGCAGAAAACGTGGTAACAGACAGACAGACAGACAGATAGGAACACCTAACGAACAAAGTACCGTAATGTGCATGCTGAGGGTTGGAGGAATACCGATCCACAGCACGCTGCATTTACCTGCACACCATTCTATATATGTCATGCTGAAAACACTCCCCAGCCACAGCATGCTATGGTCTATGACTCCCATGAACACACTCGATCCCCACAGCATGCTATGACTCCCATTAGTTCTCACAAATATCCCTCTTGGCACAGCAGGCATATTATGCATACACAGTAACTAGCTCTCAAGGAGTGCCTGTTGAGAATCATGGACATTTCATTGAATGTTTGTACCCAGACACTGCCTTCATGTTCATCATTGCTGGGCTGATACTGACCAAGGTATTCCAGAACCGCCACCCTGACATCCACACCAACTCTTTCATCGCCTTTTTCTCCTTTGCCGTTGTCATCTTCTTCACTCTCCTGGGAATTGTAAGTGATGGACACGTAGTTCAGTCTTTAACACATGCAGTGGGTATGTACGTACGTATGTTGTCATTGATACCCCGCACAGCACTATGACCAGAGGAACCCAGTGGCAGTTCGCTGCTCTCTGCTGGCCATAACAGTTTTCATGGTGGCTGGATTCTTCACTTCCTTCTACTACTTTCATCGCTGGAAACTATGTGCGTTTCAACTAACACATTCAGAATTTTTACCCTATGGAGCGTTAGCACTATACACAAGATGTTTTTGTTGTTTTAATTTAAAGAAGAATGCGTTGGTGATCAATAGGTAACACATCATTTTGAGCATCTTAAAGGGCACCCCGTGGTCATGCATAGCAGCAAACAAAATATGAACCCACTATTATTATGGCACTTAGTATAGTACGGTTGGCTGTAGCTCGTCCGCCTTCAACCTTGGTTGGTAGCAGCTCTTTGAAGAAAGCACCGCGGAGGAGAGTTCTCCCAAGCCGATACCGGGCGCAATCCATGATGGCGCTGATTGCTGGTAAGTACTGACTATTAGCGGCGGCGTCTCAACTTTTCGACGATAGCCCGACAGGGGAGAGCCCTCCCGCTTCCACACTGGGCACTGGGCACTGGGTACTGTCGAAGACTTCGTCGACGATGACTGAGAATCACTGTTATAAGCAGCATCGCAACAGTTCCAGTCAGGGAGATGTCTGAGCAGTCTCAGCTCGTGATCGTCGCTTCTGGACGCCCCAGTTTGCGCGTACTGTAAACGGCAGGGTCTCAGTTAGAAGTAAGCCACCTGACCGCAGGTATCTTATCGCTAAGAGACCTGCGTGTAGGTGTCTTAGCCCAAAATGAACCTCATTAGCTATTCATTTTCAAAGCATTCTTGACATTCCTTTTTCTTATATACATAAACCGGTTGTATCGTCGTGCAGCGAAGGCAATGTTCATAAAGGTGTTTGAGTCCTGGAAGTTCTTTAGCTGCAAACTTCTTCACCCTGTAAGTCCGCTTTTTATATCAATCTATCTGTGCAGATTCATTCTTGTGATTCACTCGCAGATCCGCTTTTTCAAGCTCTTTGGTGTGTTTGTGATCAATGTAATAGTGTAAGTATTGTTGCAGTCAAAGCAGGCAAAAGATGCTTTTCGTTGCCTGCACATAATGTATCCTTTGCAGGGCTATTGTTGCTATTATTGGGAATAAGTACATCGACTTTGCGACAACCATCTTGACATTCTTTCTTCTGAATGTGATGCTTTTTCTCTCCATGTATGTCATCTCAAAGGTATGCATAATGAATGTTCTTCTTGCTTATTTCTTGACCTTGTGTTTCCCTTTCACGCCAAAATGTTTTTCGTCATAGAAATGTGGCACTAACCTCTCCAGACATTTAGCTATAGCTAGCAATTGTGGCTGTTCAGCATTAAACCTTGTTTGCGGTGTGCCGTAGATTTGCATTGTCCTTTGTATCCTAACCAGTCGGTCACTGCATTTAGGTTCACAATGTTACAGATATGCAGGAATACAAACTCCACCTATTGCCTATAGAGTAGTCCAGTAGTGCTAGTGGAATCTTTCAGTTCTGAGTAATTGCATTCACAAAGATCCAACAGTACTTTAATAGCACCGAACCATGTGAACAAGGCTTTGTTCAAGTAATGCTGTCTACCCGTGACACTGTTGTTTTGCTCAGATGTGCTACAGAGAACCATGGACACTACCGCCGATGGTTCTCCCGATCGTGGTGTGTGGGCTGTGGGCTGCCGCACTCTACTTCTTCATGAACTCTCTCACCGACTGGAAGGTAGATAGTCTGTTTCGCTGTTTAGAAATTGTGTGTATGTAACAGACGGGGAGTGAAAGGTCATTTGTGTCTTTTGGAGAACTTTTGGTACACTCATTTAGCACTATTTTGTATGGCTCGCACTATAAACAGATATGGGCAGGGGGGGATAGGACACAGTTTGTGGCAAAGGGCACTTACGTTGCAAATTTCATTATACTGTATATTGTTCTTCTGTGCCTGTGTGTGCGTGTGTTACTCTAGTTGACTCCAGCAGAGAGTCGTCATCTGAACCGTCCCTGTTCCCTGATGGGATTCTACGACGATCATGACATCTGGCACTTTCTCTCGGCATTTGCACTCTTCTTTTCCTTCCTGGTAAGTGACAATAAATTATACACTTGGACGCCATCTCTACAACATGTTATTTGAAGTTGTAGCTACATCACCATAAACGTTTGACATTCGATCCGTTTTGTTTTGTTTACAGTGGCTCTATATAAGCCGCTGGGGCATGATGATGTCCAAAGACTATTAATGTTCATTTCCTTCATGCAGTTTATCATGACCCTTGATGACGGAATAGCAGACTGGCAGTGGAAGGACATCCATGTCTTTTAGAGAACTTTTGTACACTGTAGCTGACACTTTTTAGCACTGTTTTGTGCGACTCGCACTGTAAACAACTATAAAAGGGCATCTGCGCAGCACGCGCGGTGGCGCGGTTTCGTACACCAATTACGGAATACGGTTACGTAGTAACGTGGGCGTAGCTGGTGGGAAGAACGTCGACTGTGCAAGTGAAGGATGGACGAGCTCTCTGCGCTGTTTTTCGAAGACCCTGGCGAGGACGGTATTCAGCTAGTAGCTGACGATGATATCTCCAGCCATTCTGATCAACCTCGAGAATACTTCCAAGAGGAACAGGGGGCGTTGCTGTCAGATGGCGCGATGGGACTGGGAGAGGTAGCTTACCTAGCTAGCTACAGACTCCGGGCAGGGACTGTAGAAATGCAGGGGCTGTGAATTAATTAGATCACTCGCTATATAATTATACCTACGTACGTAGCTGCCTGCGCTGAGAAAGTTCGTGGCGTGGTTCGGTCGCCAGTTTATCATAAACGCCCTCATGCGATCACTGGAGGTGGGCGTGAGTAGCTACGCTGCACGAGTATTCTTGTAAAAGCTAAAGTAGTGCTTTGTAGTATTATTGTACTCACAACGCAGGATGAACCTGATGGCAATGTGCCCATGAGTCTCCATCAACTAATAAAGAAGAGAAAATTACTGCCTTCGGTGGGTTTTTAACAGTAGCTACTTTAGCAAGTCTGTTATTTGGCCGTGTGTAATTTTAAAAAGGAGCTGAAAGAAGGGTTGGGAAACAACAGAAGTGAATGGGCAGTGCAGGTTAATGAAGTTGATCGGAGCACCGGTTTGGCTCCTATCCACTACATTTCACTACATGTGGATGCCTACACCACTCTACTGTTGCTGAATCTACTCACCTATGGGAATGCTGATATTGATGCCAGGGCAGCTGATGGAAAAACAGCATTGATGCTTGCTGTACAGGTATTCAATTATAGCCCAAATCTTGCCTTATTTTGCTAATTCCCCAAGTATTACAGTGATTTGCTGCAATTCTAATCTCGGTCACTACAGGCAAGAAACATACGTTTAGCGAAGGTGCTGGTTGCTCTGGGAGCCAATGTTAACATTGGTTTTGAAGGAACAACACCTCTGAGGATGGCGATAGAAATGTCTGGAAATCTTGAAAACAGCACTGATAACGAAGATCAAAATGATCCCAGGGGGTTCGAAGAAACATTTCACGGGGAAGGGGTTGATGATTCAGCCAGTCCTTCAAAAGAACCTCAGGACATGGTTCATGTGCTGAGATCAGTTGGTGCTACCACACACTACCAAGAAACGCAACAGCAGTCTGAATATGCAGGAGACGTTCGAATGGGAAAATTAGACACTTACAAAGTGGCGAAAGTTTACACAGAACTCAATGAGTCTATGATAGCCAAGAAGGCAGCATACCTACACAATCCCAGTCCCTCTGTGGCCCGTGAGGCTATGGAGGCCCTGGCAAGAGTGGAGGTATACCGCAGGGAGCACGGGAGCAGGATACTGTGTCTGGATGGAGGGGGCGTGAAGGGACTGGTCCAGATAGAGATGTTGAGACAGATTGAGCAGAGAACAGGGAAAAGGATTGTTGAGCTGTTTGACTGGATTGTGGGCTCTTCCACTGGAGGAATCATAGCACTGGCCCTCGTCTATGGCAAGTTCAGTCTCCATAGTAATTATTATATAGATTGTTTTAACTGTAGGTAACATGTCAGTGACTAATCTTCAGAGACTATACCTGCGACTGAAAAGAGATGTTTTTTCAAGAAGTGGTATATTACAGAAGGGTGATAGTAATCAGTTGGAAAGGTACCTGAAAGAGCTACTACAAGGGACTATGGACACAAACAGAATGTCCTATCCAAAGTAACCAAGGCATGAAACATTATGTGATCCATGTTCTGTTTCATCTTTCACAGAGTCCTGGTGTCAGCAGTTAAGCAAAGTCCTACTGGAATCAAGCTCATCTTTTTCAACAACTGTTTTGAAGATGATTATAGCAAAGGTTAATTGGGCAATGAAGGAGTGCATAGGAATAATGTTTGGCTCAGTGAGCTCTGCCAGTAATGTAATGGTTTAAAGCTAAACTAAATGAGATATTTTCCTTCTCTGATTTGGTAGAGCTTACACATTAGATTTGCATCTCATAATCTTGATTCATACTCTGCACCATTGTCTCACTGCAGAGGAGGTTTGGAAGGTGGCTAGGTACACATCAGCTGCTCCACTGTATTTCAGTTCCAAGGATGGCTACCTGGATGGAGGATTGCTAGCCGACAACCCAACAGAGGACGCACTAACTGCCATCCAGAACTTCTACCGAAAGAGGGAAATGCAGATCCCAATATCACTGGTTGTCTCGCTTGGGTCAGGGGTCACTCCAATCAAGAACCAGAAAGCTGTGAACGTCACAACTGACTTGTGGAATGTACCATCACAAGTGTTTCCCTTTTTGAAAATTGTTGGGGAAGCTGTGAGTCCATTGTCTATTCTGTGTGTAATTAGGCCGTCTCGATAGTTAGAACAGTCATGTTGCAGTCTTGATATAAGTGTCTTGTATCGTTACTTGCAGCTGATGAAACCACAGACTGACTCTAACAATCAGAGTCGTTGTGTGGAGCAGGAGATCAGGTACATCCGCCTTGACCCACCACTGGAGAGGGAGGTCGACTCGGCAGAGACTGACAATGATAAGTTGGTGGACATGTTGTGGACCACTCAACAGTACCTGCACAGCTCCAGAGAAGACAGCAGTGGGCAGAAGAAGATCGATGCCATCTATGAAGCTTGCATAACCAAAATGTAGATGTTTAAAACACTGCAAATAGTTTACCCTCGGCGCGCATGCGCAGCGAGGTTAAGTTGTTAACCTTCGGCGCGCATGCGCAGCGAGGGTTACTGTAGTTGTGTGTCTGTCTGTCTGTTACTCCACATCTCACTTCTCAAGTGTTCGTTCGTCTCAGAAAGGATATATACGACCTACTTACGGGCAATGAAGGTCAGAAATTTTGTGCGGTTTTCTCTGACACTGCTCGGTTGCAAAGCTAGAGCGCGAAAAAGCCAATATGCAAATACACAACGGACGGGATGGCTTACCACAGTCGGATCGATCCGCATGCTCTGCGTACGCATGGCGTGAATCGCCTCTCGCATGCTATCTAGCAGTTAGCCCGCGTCAGACTCGGCGCGAGCTGGGAAGAGACCACGAGCCACGAGTGACAGCTAAAACTAAACCCAGCCCATCAATTAGTGTTACGGCGCATGCGTTTACTTACGCGTGCGCGTCACAGTGCGCCGAGGGTTTGCACTCCAGTGCTTTTCATTAACCCTCGGCGCGCATGCGCAGCGAGGGTTACTGGTTTGTCTGTGTGTGTGTGTGTGTCTCTACATCTCACCTCTCGAATATATGTTCCTCCCAGAAACGATACAACGGGCGACAAAGGTCAGAAAATATGTGGGGTTTTCTCTGAAAATGCTCCGTTGCGCTTCCAGCATTGTATGGCTAATGCCGGTAGTCGCCATTTTATCGCTGGCGGATAATGCGCATGCGCTTATATTTAGCACTCGACCGGGTCCGCTTGCTCTGTCTGTCTATCTTGAAGGTCACAACGAATGGCGTATATCGACTCTCGCGTGCTATCTACTACTGTAGCTAGTAGCTAGCCCGTGTCGGACTCTCTGCGAGCTACTTCGCCGAGGGTTTGCACTTTAGCGCTTTTCATTGGGTCTGTGTCGTGTGTCTGTGTGTCTGTCATCTCACTTCTCGAGTGTTCGTTCGTCTCACAAAAGATACCACCAACTGAACGGGCAATGAAGGTCAGAAATTTCGAACGGTTTTCTCTGAAAACGCTCCGTTGCAAAGCTAGAGTGCTTCCACCATTGTATATACGGCTAATGCGCAGTCGGCCATTTTTATCGCTGCGGAAAATGCGCATGCGCTTATAGTTGAACAGGCTTCGACCGGGCCGCTTGCTCTCTCTACCTTGAAGGCATAAGAAGTCACAACGAAGGGCGTGTATCGACTCCTGCATGCTCTCTACTACTGTAGCTAATCCGTGTAGGAGTGCTTTTCATTGGGTCTGTGTGTGTGTGTCTGTGTGTCTGTCTGTTACTCAACACATCACTTCTCCAATGTTCGTTCGTTTCCCCAAAGATACAACTTGCTTAATGCGACCTGATCCGCTCGCTCTGTGTACCTTGGGGACTCAAGAAGTCACAAGGAAGGTCCTCACGCACTACTGTAGCTACCCCGTGTAAGACTCTCCGCGAGCTACAAGCGACGGGTAAACGCATACTTATAGCCCAGCCCATCAATTAGAAGTATCGCGCATGCGCAGTTCGCCGAGGCTCATTAACCCTCGGTGCGCTTGTAAACCCTCGGTGCAGCGAGGGTTACGTGTGTGTGAGTGTGTGTGTGTGTGTGTGTGTGTGTGTGTGTACGCGACTATTCTCGCACTATAATATAGAGGCTACGAGGCGCGATGCCAACAGCTTTAGCGGTACATAGGCTAGAAAAATTAAATGGCGATTTTGCTGCGTTCGAGAGCGACAAACTGACACGGTCGCGGACAGCGTTGCGTAGCCCAACCCATCAATAAGCGGTGCGCTTGCGTCTATTAGACCAGACGCAGCTCACCTCGACCTGATCCGCTTGCCTTGGAGCACAAGAAGCCACAGCGAAGGGAGTGTATCGACTCCCGCATGCTATCTAGCTACTAGCTACTAGCGGGAGACCGCGAGTAAACGCCAATAACCCAGCCCATCCATTAGTTCAAAGTTTCAAAGTTTCAAAGTTCATTTATGCAGGACCCGAGGGGCATATGCATAATGGAAGGTGACATACAATTAAATAAAGGCTATGAAGTAGCCTGATAGAACAGTGAACATTTACTGAGAGTAGAGTTAGCAACTGCAAAGATTGCCTCATGATCCAGCTTGTGAAGACTTGATGTAACTTGAGATAGTGACCTGTTGTTTATAATATCTGGATGTAAGCAGCATAAGTGCTCGAACCGATCCAGGCTCTCATTGCACAGATTGCAAACTGAGTTGTTGAAGATGGGCCGGGCCGGCTCAGTTCTCTCAGCTCTGCTTGCAGGCCACGAGTACCTTTCACTCCTCTATCCAGTGCGATATCCCAGAGTCGGCACCAGGATGTAGTCTGTGCCACTGTAGCAACCAGCTTGGCAGTTTTGTGTGAGAGAGAATGTTTTATGAGTAGTTGGAAATCCTTACGGATCAGATTCAATTTGTTCTCGGTTAGCTACTATAGATGAGGCTTCACTTGGTTGATTTAGGCACCTTGCAAGAACGCTTGTGCCGAGGGACGATTCTAGCATACGGCACTGTTGTACGTCCAGTGATACTTTGATGCCATTAGCGGTACCGCGCATGCGCAGTTCGCGATTCATTAATTCTCGGCGCCCATGCGCAGCGAGGGTTACTGTAGTTGGGTTTGTCTGTGTGTGTGTGTGTGTCTGTTACTCTACATCTCACCTCCCGAATGTCTGTTCGTCCCAGAAACGATACCATCTACCCAACGGGCGACGAAGGTCAGAAAATATGTGGGGTTTTCTCTGAAAATGCTCCGTTGCAGAGCTAGAACGCTTCCAGCATTGTATGGCTAATGCCGGTAGTCGCCATTTTATCGCTGGCGGATAATGCGCATGCGCTTATATTTAGCACAGGTTTATAATTATACCTCGACCGGGTCCGCTTGCTCTGTCTATCTTGAAGGCACAAGAAGTCACAACGAATGGCGTGTATCGACTCTCGCGTGCTATCTACTACTGTAGCTAGCCCGTGTCAGACTCTATGCGAGCTACTTCGCCGGGGTTTGCACTTTAGTGCTTTCCATTGGGTCTGTCTGTGTGTGTGTGTGTGTGTGTGTCTGTTACTCCTTTATCTCACTTCTGAGTGTTTGTTCGTCTCACAAGCGATGCGACTTACCCAACGGGCAATGAAGGGCAGAAATTATGTGCGGTTTTCTCTGAAAATGCTCCGCTGCAAAGCTAGAGCGCAAAAAAACCAATTTGCAAATAACAGACGGACGGCTTACCGCGGTCTGATCCATCCGCGTGCTCTGTGTATTATACCTTGGAGGCACCAGAAGATGCAACGCAGGGCGTGTATCGCCTCTCGCATGCTATCTAGTAGTGTAGTTAGCCCGCGTCAGACTCTGCGCGAGCTGGCAAGAGACCACGAGTAAGAGCTAAAACTAAACCCAGCCCATCGATTAGTGATACGTTTACTCACGCGTGCGCGTCACAATGCGCTGAGGGTTTGTTGCACTTCAGTGCTTTTCATTCTTTCTGTGACACTGTCCCAATTGTAGCATTGAGTAATTGCAGATTAAAGGACACAAGCCAGCTCTATCAGGATGTTGTGCTAGCTACTACGAAAGTAGAGATGGCTTTAAAGAATGCCTCAGTAGAAGTCCTCTTACAAGCAAGTGTTGCCAGAGAAAAGCCAGCGGACATTTTGTGCAGGTATTATAGCTATAAATGCAAATGGTGTTCTGGATGGCTGGGGATGCCACATCACAGTCAACTCCAAAGTTGTCTGCTAGTGCTGCAAACTGCTGAGGTCTACATGTCCATCCCTCATCATAGAGGCCATCATGGACCCCCTCTCTCCACCACAGACTGTTCTGTGGACAAGTCCCTATCTTTCCTGATGAGCTCACTCCACAAGTCCAGATATTCCTCCGCCCCCCTACCTTCTTGATGAGATTTCATGCACCACCTTGAAGAGATGCTCATGCCTCCATCCCGCCCTCTGGATCTCTTCAATAACGTTATAATGATATCGCTATACTGTTAGCTACAAACTGTCTAAAGTTCAACCCAAATTCATCGGAATAGGGAATCCACCAATTCCAACCAAGGGCTTCCAATGTATATCCCATGCCCGTATAGGTAGCTAGGTGTCTATAACAGCAGATGTAGCTACCGATCAGAGAAAAGCACTAAAGTGCAAACCCTCGGCGAACTGGTATGCGCGGTATATGCCGCTAATGGATGGGCTGGGCTATTGGCGTTTACTCCCTCCCGCTATATAGTAACTTGCGGAGAGTCTGACACTGGCTAGCTACAGTAGTATAGATAGCATGCGGGAGTCGATACACACCCTTCGCTGTGGCTTCTTGTGCCTCCCAGGTACACAGAGCAAGCGGATCTATCTAGTGGAGGTGATCCACGTTAATTGCGTTTAATATACGCATGCGCGCCGCTTATTGATGGGTTGGGCCACGCACGACCGTGTCAGTTTGTCGCTGTCGCTATTTTTCTAGCCCATGTACCGCTAAAGCTATTGGGTATCGCTCATAAGCCGCCTCGTGGCCTGTAGTACGAGAATAGTCGTAGACAGACTGACAGACAGACACAGAGTACAGAACGACTACCGTAACCCTCGCTGCGCATGCGCGCCGAGGGTTTAAAAATGACGCGCACTTCCGGCGGCGGCACAGCTCTAGAGAGCTAGCTAGCTAGGGAACGCGCGAAAACGCATGCGCACTATGTCGATGTGAACAGGCCCATTTTGTGTCTGCTGGACGACCTTGCCGTCAAGTCTTGGTGTCACTCTCGGAATCGACTACACAAGGCTGCTAGATAGCTACCTTGTAAGTTTCTGCTATATACACCTTTTTTGTAAATATTCATGTGGCGAATAGCTATAGCTAGCTACTAGACGTGCACTGCAGGCTGCAGTGCGGAGTTCCAGCTACTAGCATACTTGCATACTAACGTTGATATCCCTGCCTTCTATTGGAAAACTAGGTTGTAAGGCAAGAGGAGGCAACCACGGACAAGGGGAAGAGCACCAGTCACTGCAAGGAAGCGCTATAGCAGGTGGTCAGAAATTTATCTATGGCGACTATAGTTGTTCATCAAAGGTGTGTGGGTCCTAAGCCCATGACCTGTGCAGCAGTTTAGTCTCACGTATATACATGCATGTCCTGTATGGGGGAGTAGCAAATGTAGCTAAGGTTCCCTTCCTATATAGTAACCATATATATATTTATTGTATTTTGCGTGGGCGAATCAAAGGCGCCGCCAGTACTATATATTCATCATACAGAACGGTTTTTGAATGAACTGTACTATATCCGCGGACTAGCGTACGCTTTCCGGGAATGAGGCCTTTCGTAGACGGAGGTCGACTCAGACGGTGACACAAACAGCTGCTGGAAGGGCGCTCCGCGAGCTTCTAGTCCTTCTGAACTTGCAAAAAAAAGATTTTCCTGGCCGCCGCCTTATCCGCAGACTAGCGTACGCTTTGCGGGAATGACGCCCTCGGCGGCCTTTCGTAGACGGAGTTCGACTCAGACGGTGACACAAACCGCTGCTGGAAGGGCGCTCCGCGAGCTTCTCGTCCTCTCTTCCGTTCTGAACGCCGGTTTTCCTGGTCGCCGCCTTTTGAATCGCCCACGCATACAATAAATTACTTAATGTACGGAAGCACGTGCTGTGCGCGTGATAATGGTACTCGGAACGTGGTCTCGATAGATCATACAGCAACTCGGCTGCGCCTCGTGCTGTATGACTATCTCGACCACGCCCCTCGTACCATTATTACGCGCACAGCACTGACTTCCGTACATTAACTATTACATACATAAACTAATTGAAAGTTTGGTGAACACATAATACTTTTTACTGTCATTTAATACCATACATGGTCGTAGGGCGAAAAATATGGGGTGAGGTTACCCAATGTAATATTATAGCGCTAGGGCTAGACTATGACAACCTAAACAGCTGTGTTACATTCTCCACTGAAATGTATGGCATTAGTGACATTATTGAAAGTAGAACACCCATACTTTCAGTCGTAACACTCCATACTTTCAGCAATGCAACCCACCATACTTTCAATTAGGGGGCACATCACCAGACCATCAAATCTTCTCCACACGCGCAAAGCATCTAGCATCGAAGTACAACGATGGGATCGCGATATTTGACACACACTCACCTCGGCAGCCACCCGTTTCACCAGCTTCCCCGGGCTTCTCCGCTCCATAATCTTATTTTACCATGCATTCCTCCTAGTTGAAAATATGTCCACGTGTCACAGAGTTGCCACGGTTACCGAGAAAAATGGTGGACAGACAGACGGACGGACACATGCACACACACACACACACACAC